ATTAGTAATACCCATTCCATTGCAGCTAGGCATGAATTTAGCACAAACTGCAAACGGATGACGTAGAACACTACTGTAATCAACACAAAACATTTTGTAGCAACGCAAACGAATCTTCGGTCGCAGATCTTGTTTGATTGACTTGGTAACTGGTGTGCGGAGCAAGTAATAAAAGGGTTGGCTTACCTGACAGAAACGATCGTTCCAATCACACCACGATTTGCTTTTGCAGCATCTCCCTAAAGCAACAGGTCCGCCGGCCGCGTAACTTGCCCATAGACTGATTGTCTGTCTTCCAGACCGTTTTAGTTCCTGCATTTATTTTGCAACATGAGTTCTTGATCGCCCGAGTCCTTCAGACCAATAGGTGATGTTTTTATTACCCATTCCATTGCAGCTAGGCATGAATTTAGCACAAACTGCAAACGAATGACGTAGAATACTACAGTAAACAACACAAAACAATTTCCAGCAACGGAAACGAATTTTCGGTCGCAGATCTTGTTTGATTGACTTGGTAATTGGTGTGCGCACCAAGTAAAAAAGGGTTTGGCTTACCTGTGAGGAACGGTCGTTCCTATCACACCCGTATTTGTTTTTGCAGCATCTCCCTAAAGCAACACGTCCGCCGGCCGCAAAACTTGCCCATAGACTGATTGTCTCTGACGTCAGCTGATTGTTGATGTATTCTTTCTGTGATGTCAGAGCTTTGGGGGACACAATAAGCAATAACGTGGCTTCATTGTTGACGTCATAGTTTCCTGTGGGGCAAGCAGGTCGCTGTCTTCCAGACCGTTTTAGTTCCTGCATTTATTTTGCAACATGAGTTCTTGATCGACCGAGTCCTTCAGACCAATAGGTGATGTTTTTATTACCCATTCCATTGCAGTTAGGCATGAATTTAGCACAAACTGCAAACGAATGACGTAGAATACTACAGTAAACAACACAAAACAATCTCCAGCAACGCAAACGATTCTTGGGTCGCAGATCTTGTTTGATTGACTTTGTAATTTGTGTGCGGAGCAAGTAATAAAGGGGTTGCCTTACCTGACAGAAACGATCGTTCCAATCACACCATGATTTGCTTTTGCGGCATCTCCCTAAAGCAACAGGTCCGCCGGCCGCGTAACTTGCCCATAGACTGATTGTCTGTCTTCCAGACCCTTTTAGATCCTGCATTTATTTTGCAACATGAGTTCTTGATCACCCAAGTCCTTCAGACAAACTGGTTATTTCTTTATTACCCATTCTATTGCAGCTAGGCATGAATTTAGCACAAACTGCAAACGAATGACGTAGAATACTACAGTAAACAACACAAAACAATCTCCAGCAACGGAAAGAAATTTTCGGTCGCAGATCTTGTTTGATTGACTTGGTAATTGGTGTGCGCACCAAGTAATAAAGGGGTTGGCTTACCTGTGAGGAACGGTCGTTCCTATCACACCCGTATTTGTTTTTGCAGCATCTCCCTAAAGCAACACGTCCGCCGGCCGCAAAACTAGCCCATAGACTGATTGTCTCTGACGTCAGCTGATTGTTGATGTATTTTTTCTGTGATGTCAGAGCTTTGGGGGACAAAATAAGGAATGACGTGGCTTCATTGTTGACGTCAAAGTTTCCTTTTGGGCAAGCAGGTCGCTGTTATCCAGACCGTTTTAGTTCCTGCATTTATTTTGCAACATGAGTTCTTGATCGCCCGAGTCCTTCAGACCAATAGGTGATGTTTTTATTACCCATTCCATTGCAGCTAGGCATGAATTTAGCACAAACTGCAAACGAATGACGTATAGAATACTACAGTAAACAACACAAAATAATCTCCAGCAACGGAAAGGAATTTTGGGTCGCAGATCTTGTTTGATTGACTTGGTAATTGGTGTGCGCACCAAGTAATAAAGGGGTTGGCTTACCTGACAGAAACGGTCGTTCCTATCACACCCGTATTTGCTTTTGCAGCATCTCCCTAAAGCAACACGTCCGCCGGCCGCAAAACTTGCCCATAGACTGATTGTCTCTGACGTCAGCTGATTGTTGACGTATTTTTTCTGTGATGTCAGAGCTTTGGGGGACACAATAAGCAATGACGTGGCTTCATTGTTGACGTCATAGTTTCCTGTGGGGCAAGCAGGTCGCTGTCTTCCAGACCGTTTTAGTTCCTGCATTTATTTTGCAACATGAGTTCTTGATCGCCCGAGTCCTTCAGACCAATAGGTGATGTTTTTATTACCCATTCCATTGCAGTTAGGCATGAATTTAACACAAACTGCAAACGAATGACGTAGAATACTACAGTAAACAACACAAAATAATCTCCAGCAACGGAAAGGAATTTTGGGTGGCAGATCTTGTTTGATTGACTTGGTAATTGGTGTGCGCACCAAGTAATAAAGGGGTTGGCTTACCTGTGAGGAACGGTCGTTCCTATCACACCCGTATTTGCTTTTGCAGCATCTCCCTAAAGCAACACGTCCGCCGACCGCGTAACTTGCCCATAGACCGATCGTCTGTCTACCAGACGGTTTTAGATCCTGCATTTATTTTGCAACATGAGTTCTTGATCGCCCGAGTCCTTCAGACCAATAGGTGATGTTTTTATTACCCATTCCATTGTAGCTAGGCATGAATTTAGCGCAAACTGCAAACGAATGACGTATAGAATACTACAGTAAACAACACAAAATAATCTCCAGCAACGGAAAGGAATTTTGGGTCGCAGATCTTGTTTGATTGACTTGGTAATTGGTGTGCGCACCAAGTAATAAAGGGGTTGGCTTACCTGTGAGAAATGGTCGTTCCTATCACACCCGTATTTGCTTTTGCAGCATCTCCCTAAAAAACACGTCCGCCGGCCGCGAAACTTGCCCATAGACTGATTGTCTCTGACGTCAGCTGATTGTTGACGTATTTTTTCTGTGATGTCAGAGCTTTGGGGGACCCAATAAGCAATGACGTGGCTTCATTGTTGACGTCATAGTTTCCTGTGGGGCAAGCAGGTCGCTGTCTTCCAGACCGTTTTAGTTCCTGCATTTATTTTGCAACATGATTTCTTGATCGCCCGAGTCCTTCAGACCAATAGGTGATGTTTCTATTACCCATTCCATTGCAGCTAGGCATGAATTTAGCACAAACTGCGAACTAATGACGTAGAATACTACTGTAAGCAACACAAAACAATCTCCAGCAACGCAAAGGAATCTTCGGTCGCAGATCTTGTTTGATTGACTTGGTAATTGGTGTGCACACCAAGTAATAAAGGGGTTGGCTTACCTGTGAGGAACGGTCGTTCCAATCACACCATGATTTGCTTTTGCAGCATCTACCTAAAACAACAGGTCCGCCGGCCGCGTAACTTGCCCATAGACCTATTTTCTGTCTTCCAGACGGTTTTAGATCCTGCATCTATTTTGCAACATGAGTTCTTGATTACCCAAGTCCTTCAGACAAACTGGTTATTTCTTTATTACCCATTCCATTGCAGCTAGGCATGAATTTAGCACAAACTGCAAACGAATGACGTAGAATAATTAATGTATTGATTTCCAGTGATAAGATATCTTTGAAGATACACATCATGCAGGAGTTGTATGTTATGCATTTTTGTTTTTCATATCTAAAAGTTTAAAATCAAATTATATTTAAAAACATAAATCCTTGTAGAAGTATTCTGCGAGTGCTGACTATGCGCCTGCACAGTTAATGTTTTGCTTAATATCGGTAACTTAAGATTTGTTCAATCAAAAACCAAACATATGATAAAATGAAGTGAGAGGTGTAGTTTCTTTTGTCCTTCAGTATAGCTGTATACACAACGATTCTGTGTTCATCCTCGGTGTAAAGTAGATTGGTTGGTTGGTTTGTTTGTTGTTTAACGCCGCACTCAGCAATATTCCAGCTATATGACGGCGGTCTGTTAATAATCGAATCTGGACCAGACAATCCAGTGATTGATATCATGAGCATCGATCCACGCAATTGGGATCGATGACATGCATCAACCAAGTCAGCGAGCGTGACCACCCGATCCCGTTAGTCGCCTTTTACGACAAGCATATTCGCCTTTTACGTAGAACCTGGGGGATTAATGATCGCTCACCATTTGTTTTCGCTGATCAACACCAAAGAGTTGCATTTAATATTGCCGTTATATACAGTAGAACTGTACCCACAGTGATTTAAAGTTGAAGTACTGTTTTCGGTGTCAAATGATTTAATATCAAAGTATCAATAAAACGATATATGCCGTAAAATTCAAAGCACAGTAAACTATGGTTTATCAAATACGTTAATGGATTTTGTTAACAAAGGCTGAATGTGCGTGAGAAAGTATTAATCATTTATATAATTTTTTTATGGATGTAGCTTTACGTAATAATATGTTACAGCACGTCAATATAACTCTGTTTCACCATTGTAGATTACCAAGATAGATTCACGCCTGTTGGTTTCTATTTGGGAGGGAAGTGTCGTTGGGTTGCAGGAAATAAATAATATCCAAGCACTTCTGTGATAGGCATTCGGAAGTTGGAGTGCTAAGTAAGGATAAGAATTTATGGCTGAACAACTTCCTTATTGCAATCGTCTGTCCAAGCAATTTATTCAAAACCATCATTTTTCGCCTGTCAATTTAAATTTTATGATTTATCTGACATTTGACCCTAAAGACGACAGTGCCTATGTTTCAAACATTATATTGCACTAATTACAATGTCTATAGAACAAGATAGGAAATTGTCATCAGAACACATTAGATGAACCAAAACAAACCCGGTTATTATTTAATTTGTTGTGGCCTCGCTTTCATGAAGCGGCAGGAACGCTAAATCTTGTTAGCCCGCTAGATATTTTCTAGCGGACAGGAAACTGGTGAGTTTGTTCCACGTACGCAAAGATGACACAATTTAGAATCCGAGCTCAATCATGCGTGTTTGTGTATGTGTGTGTGTGTGTTCATGTCTATTTTTAGCCACATACTTATCGTCTTACGCATGCGCGAATAATGTAAACACCAACATGGCGGCTGCCGAGGACGGAGCCTACTATGGAACATGGAGGGTATTAATTCTTAATTGCATGTTCACCGTTAGATGTGATTTCACGAGGTATTTGATTCTTTTATAGAATAGTGTGATTCGTCTATTTGTTTTATTTTTCAGATTGTGGAGTGCGTGTCTTTAACGGGTACAGTGGAAACTACCGGGATCGAAGGGTGGGTTTTGTTCTTCATTCATGCTCATGTCTGACTGATACGATTTCTCGAAAGTTTGACAGTTTCCAATATTTTCCATGTCTGTTTTTCGGGTTTATATCATTTGACGAAAAAAAGGTTTCCCAGCATCACGATGCACTTTCAAATCTTTTTGTTTATGACAAAGGTGGGGGTCTTCACTTGGCCCAGACCAGTGTGTGTTCATTTCCTTGTTTCGTAGACCAATTCACTTAGGCAGTGTAGGTATACAACGGACTGCGCCTGAATATTCCATTTGTGCATAGGATTGTTTCTTGATTTTTGGTGCCTGTTCGTGAGTTTCTATCAAGATCAGCTTATGTAGTAAAACGTGTCTCATTCGACAGGTCATAGTGTCTAATTTGACATTGTGTCTGTGATGACCAGTTATATTTGAGAAAATGTTTGTTGTGGTATTTCAGGACCGAGTTTCAGCTGGATGAAAGTGGGGATGTTTCGTGGAAGGTGTCAGAAGATGCAGAACCAATGCCTTTCTTTAACTGTGAAACTTATGAGGTATGGCATTCCAAATATATATATTATTCCAATATATAAACATGGTGAACCATCATAGTAATTGACCCGTGAAGATCCAGGGTAGAATAGGTCTTCAGCGAACCTTGCTTGCCATAAAAGTTGACTATGTTTGTCGTAAGAAGCGACTAATGATATCGGGTGGTCAGGCTTGCTGACTTGGTTGATGCATGTCATCGTATCCCAATTGCGTGGATAGATGCTTTTGATATCAATCACTGGATTGTCTGGTCCATACTTGATTATTGACAGACCGCCGTCATATAGCTGGAAAATTGCTGAGTGCGGCGTTAAACAACAAACAAATCATTGTAATAGTTATATTATAAACCTACAAATATAACAATCATGTATGCTAGTTGAATAATTGGTATGACATGTAATACTATGATGAACATATTGGCTGTTCAACACTCAATCTGTTCATGTATCATGTTTGTACAAGAGGCAATTAGCACCACACAAAGCTGTTGATGCCGCTCAACCCTGCAGACAAAAGATCATTATTGACATGTCCGTTGGCAATAGCAGACAGACAGGCTATTCAGCAAAAAGGCCATAGGCCCATTTTACGGTGTTTGATTGCATGAACTATGCATGCTAATGAAGTAAAGTAATCAATTAAGTTTATTTTAGCCGTTGGACTTTATATAAATATTAACAAAATTTTGTTATATACAACATCAATTGTTTTCAAGTGAAACTATTTCTGTAAAAGATGTTTCAGTTTGGGACTTGATATAATGTTTAACATACATACTTTTTAGAGCTGAATAACACTTAAAACAAGCAATATATGAAATTCATCTTCAAAAAAAGATTTCCCGTTTTCTATACGATAGTTCCATAATCGTTCAGTGTATGGGACATTTGTCATGGTTGTGTATCTCGCAAAATTAACACAAGTTTAAACTTGCTACATCTGAAACTAGTCATACATGATAGATGGTTTTCTTATGACACATTCTAGACAATAATATGCTTCTTTTTACAATGTTGTGACAAATTCACTCTGTGAGCACCCAGCGTGCCCAGGTGCACCTTTCTCGTGTCTACCCACATTAATTCTATATCCACATGTACCGACAAGCAGCGTTGATGCGGTCAATATTTTTGTACCAAAACTGGCAACTAGATGTCCAAAGTAACCTATGTGTGTTGTAACTACAAATAAGATGGATAGGGTGGTGAGGCACAGTGACTTGGTTGATTGCATGTCATCATACCCCAATCACTTGGCATGTTGCTCATAATATCAACCACTGGTTCATCTGCTAGAGACTTGATTATTTGCATCTAACTATTGCTTATTGCAGTGAATAAGAACATTCACACACAAACTGATATCAAATTGTGATGTGAGTCTTGATGCCAGTGACCTTGAACTGGTGACATGGTTGTAGGACATTATCAAGTTCTGTAAAGAAAACGTGTTGAAGAAAGTCTTGATTTCCACTCTTGTGATTTGGTAATACTGTAGGTCCTGAAGCACTGAACTATGTTATGAAACATATTTTTATTATAATATAATATATATTTGTCATTTTAAAAGCATCGATAGTAGAAGTAGGTTTCATACATTTATCAAGCTATTAATGGTTAGTTATGATTGCACAGTTAAGATTTGACTTCAATATTTTTTGCATTAATGGTGACATAAATGTAGATTATGGTGTGCAAAATATGTAAATCCTCGTAGGAGGTATAAACATTAAAAACAAAGTGTAGCAGATTTATACAAAGTGTTCACACCCGATTTAAGTTTATATCACCATAAATACAAATACATATTGAACATGTTGAAGTCAATTCTTATAAATACATTTGTCAACAATAATAAATTCCCAGACTGCTTATTTGATCATCAACTCAAAAAAATCTGCAGACCATAGTAAAATATCAGTGACTTGGCTCAGCAAAATATCGCAACACAGGCCCATTCTATTGTCAGCCAGTCGGGAACCAGTATTCCGTTACTGGACATGGCCTAATTCTATTTTGGGTTTATGGAAATGTAAACACTTGGTTAGCCTATCAAATACCACAGAATCACTTGCAAGTTTTTATTTTGATGTAAACAGGTAAAGGGTTAATCACACCTGTTAATAGAAAATTTCATGTGAGGGTGCAGCAACATGCTCGATCAGATGTGAATCTTATTTACAGCATGTGGATATTATTTTATGAATATTATAAAAATGCTCTCCCAACATATGCTGAAATTGGGAACTGTGGTATTCAGCAAGATATCATGAAAATCGTAACATGTGTATTCATTGTATGATAAGATATGAAAGAAAACCATTCTCTCCATTCTGCTTACCAGACGGTGAGGTTAATAACGTTTGCTGGTGATTAATCATGTTAACATGGTTAAGGGCACCCCTGCATTCAAAGACACATACATACTTTGTAACATGACTGGTAACTTTACAATGTCAATCAAGGCACATAACAGGTCCATGCCTAAGCATTTTGAAACCAAAGAAACGTATAAAAATTACCCTCTGCAAAAATCAAATTATCTTTTTTTTTAAATATTTTTATTTAATTCAGTTCACATATATCTGTAACATAGGTACATGAGGTAAATAAGTATAGCAATTCATAGGATCTTAAAACATGATCAACATATGGGTACTATAACCATGATAACATGAAGTTATCTTATTTTTCCTGAAATTTTGACATTACAGAAAGGTTGATGATTGTGAGTTCCATGTTTGTACTGGAAATGTAAGGCTGTGTCTTCTGTGTTCTAGGTGACGCCTGGTGCTGCTAGTGACCCCGCTGTGCTCAAGTTCATATGGACTTACGAGGGACATGTCATTGAGTTTAGGGTGCGTACAAACTGTCAATCACACCATGTTATTATCACTAACTGTTATTATCCATTGTGCAATGGTGACTTTATTTAACAAAGGTTATATTTGGGATAAAACTTTCTTATTAAAGTATAGATTCCAGTACTTGTTTGGGGTTGTGTCCCAACCGGGATTCGTACACACACTGCCAGAGTGAGGCACCTAATCGCCAGCACACAAAGTCAGTGATCTAACCTACTCAGCCACCGAGGCTTCCACAAAAATGAAAGTCCGACAACTGGTAGTCTAGATCACGTACTTTGTGTACTCTGACAAGTGTGATTTTGTTCTGTGGAATTAGAAAAACCTTTTGTTGCAGCCAGTTCATCAACCCTTGTGATTAAGTTGTGTCTATAACATGTATGAGCTTACTCAGTATTCATCTTGTCTTAGGATTTTTGTTTTTTATTTGTTTGTTTGTTGTTTAACGCCTCACTCAGCAATAATCCAGCTACATGTATATGACGGCGGTCTGTAAATAATGGAGTCTTGACCCGGCAATCCAGTGATTGACATCATGAGCATCAATCCACGCAGTTGCGATATGATGACATGCATCAACCAAGTCAGCACCACCCAATCCTGTTAGTCGCCTCTTACAACAAGCACAGTCGTCTTTTACAGCAAGCATTGGTTGCTGACCTTAAGAACATGAAGGGGGGAAGTAGCCCTGAAATGTTGCTACAAACAATAAAGAAGTTACATGTATTATTTCATGTCTTCATGATCTACCATCTTCTAAATGCCTATCCAAGACTAATTCACAACATGATCATGATGATGGCAATAACCACACACCCTGATAGTGATGTGACTGTTTACTAGTAGAGAGGATGATGTGGTTGTTGTTGTGGTTGCAGGTGGAGGTGGCGGATGACCTGATGCTGCTGACATATGAGAGATGTTGTATGCTGCAGTGCCAGAAGGTGAGGTTTGGTTTCACTGAATTACCTCCCTTTAAACCAGCATTATCTATTCAGCAAAATGTCCACAAAATTTCAGTTTCTCTTTTTATGTGATGAAACAGTTTCATAAGGACTGTATAGTATGTAGGTTTTTCTTTTATCATGAGCTTATTGAATAATATAACACAAACAGTCAGTACTTTGGCCGTGACTTCTGATAATAAATGCTTCACTGGGGTCAGAATTATTTTGTGGTTGACATTCCATTATGTAGGCTGTGTTACAGATGCAGGAGGACCTGGCAGTATTTCTTTAGACATTTTTTAATACCTTCTGAGCTTGAAATTCACTTACAATGTGTACTGGTGGAACTCTTGTGAGTGAGACTATGGTCAATACAGCCTTGAGAATATGGGGGTGATGATGATGTGGTCTATTTCAGGTGTCATCAAATGACCCCAAGGATGATGTGCCGTTCTCATTCCTTAGTGCCATGGAGGAAGGCTACTTCTCAGAACTCAACATCAGAGCTGATTCTGGAAGAGAGGTGGGTCTAGGCTCTCGTTTAGAATAAACTGTAATGCGTTAAGTTGGCTTAAGAAGATTCAAGCACGTGGATATATAAAACAAAGGTTTTTGATGATTATGCGTCCTGTTGTGCACAAATGACATACCATAGTTATTTATGCTATCCTTCCCTCTCAAGATAGCTCTTTCGTAGTTCTGATTCTGCATGAGTTTCTGGACAGGCTGGGGCAGAGCATACAGTATTTACAGTGCTCCAGATACTTTGAGTACAGTACTGGTCATTGTCAGAGTGAGTGAGTGAGTGAGTGAGTATGATTTTACACTGCTTTTAGCAATATTCCCATTGTACCCATGTGGGGAATTGAACCCGGGTCTACGGTGCGACGAGCTTAAGCCTAAACCACTAGGCTACCCCTATGCCACTGGTCGTTATCAGAACTGAAGAGTAACCGACATACTTTTTCATACCAACATATGTAACGTACTGCTCGTTTGTTGAATTGACGAAAACTGATATGATATTGCACCATCATGATTCATAGACCTCGTGTTGCACATTTGGATTTTGGTGCCAAACTAGCATAAACATGACCGAGACGAGAGAATGTGACTGTGTTACTAGCCAATGGCAATGCAGGATTGGGAGGGAATCAATTTGCTGCCGACACAAAATGATGTATTCCTGTTTAAGCGGAAGGTAATGCCCTATGGTTGACAGAAGTTTAACATTTTCTGAATGAATGGACAAGGTACGGCAACAAATAATCATAGGGGCCTATAGTATTGTTTATCTGCATATTTGATATGGTTTTGATTTGCAATATTTGACTAGTTTTCATCCAAACAGTACACTGGTATACCATTTTTCTAGGGCACTTGCATTTTCTATGTTGGTGTATTAACAAAGGTCTTGATAATCCAGGATGGTTTTGTTTATTGTTTTGAATGACAAGAGACAGCACTTTGCTATGGTCCTAACTGAAGAAAAAAGGTTGTTTCCACTTCAAGTATATTCTGTCTGAGGACCACCCACGCAGCTGTCACATGATCAAAGGTATGTATGGGACTCTGAGTTCAAATGTCGTCTCCTCTGCAACCATGTTCGGCCACCTCGTTGTTTAACACTCAGGTCACAGAAACCCACGCCAAGATCTCAAGCTATGCTTGTGATGAGATGGCATTCAAGGTGCTGGAGCATGTCTCTCATAGCCTTTCACAGCGAGCTAGCAGGTCAGGGTATTATCGTCCGAGAAGCCCTTCCCTCAACAAGGACAATATCAGAATTCTTCTCGTGGCAAGGGATGTGACAGAGAAAGAGCACAGGGCTCTTATCAATCCTGTCGTGGAAAATCCCAGGGCAGGAGCGGGGGATGCGGGGACAATCACGACTGGGAACTCCCACCCACGGTCGTATCAATCTTCACCACCCCCATAGGTGGGAGGCTGGGCCTCTTCTGACAGAAGTGGATCGGACTAGGCAGATGCATTCATACTAAATGTACTAAGCTACATCTATCACCTGGACAAAGCGGTAAACCCACCCTTGACCTAGGCTCCTTCACCTCGGATTTACCCAACTACTTGGATTCAACATAGACATCTTGCTGGAGAAGAAAGCCATAGAGATTGTACACCATGAAGCCTCCACCATACTTCTGCCTCACAACCTTGAGACCTCCCAGGACCATTATCAGCGCTTTTGATTCCCTGATCAGTCTTGACTTGCCTGATGCTTACCTGTTTGTACCTATCCATCCCTCCAATCGCTGGCATTTCAGAGGCCCTGTGGCTATTTACACGAATAACCAAGCCAGTAGCTGCCTTCTTTCACCTGAGGAACATTCGGTTCGAGTTGTACATAGACGGCGGTCTCCTGAGACATCCAGACACGGCTACCCTGGTTCTCCATCAGGACTACACCAGGCGTCTACTATATCAACTGAGATGGTGGTCAACGAGGTGAAGTCGGGATGATTTCTTCTTAATGACTCCAGTTCATGGGAGGCCTGTTCCAGACAGATCAGGGCCTATCAGTGCCAAGGGACAGATGTCTCAGGATCCTGCACCAACTGTTACCTGCCCTTCGACAATCCTGCACACTTTACCAGGGGCAAGTATTGCTAGGGTTGCTCACATCAGCCCAGGTTTTGACAAGCAGAGGCCGCCTACATCTATGCCCAATTCACAGTTCCTTGCACCTGGGATCTGTACACGGCCATCACACTACCATCTCGCATAAGGACCCATCTCAATTGGTGAGATAGAGTCAAACATGTTACAAGCGTCTCATTATCTGGGCTACCCCCAACACTTCACCTCTTCATAGACGCCTCCCTACAGGGGTTGTGTGTGCACCTACTGGACCAGACATCTTCAGGGCTGTGGTCCGGCGCACAAAGTGCCTGGTACATCAACAACCTTGAGTTGGAGGCGTTGTCACATTGGCAGGAGTGTCTATGGAACACTCAAATCACCTCAGACAGAAATAGACCTGAAGTGGAAACAACCTTTATTCTTAAGTTTAGGACCATCGTAAGGTCTGTCTCTGTCAAAAGGTAAGCAGTAGATGCATTAAGGAGTAATGTAGGATAAGTATACAAAGGTAAAAAAATATTTTGATTTTACTCATTTTGCATCTTAAGACAATTTACCGGAAATGTTTTTGACAATTACTGAATGCCTATGAAAAACAATTCCTGTGGAAATAATTTTATGTGAGGAATGATTTACCAACAGGGTAAAGGAGAGAATGCATGTCATGAACTGCTTGATCACAACTGAAGATGATATGTATAAACTCAAATAAAATCCAAAGTACAGAATCATTCTGTTAGCATTGTTGACACACTGATAGATAGTGCTTGTTTCCATCAGTTCAAGGTCCACCAGGTCCTGCTGCAGTTGAGTGCCCCGGAGATGGACTGGCTGCGGTCCCCGCCCCCACTGACGGGGCTGCGGGAGGACGTCCTGCAGGCCACCCTACACTACCTGTACTCAGAGTGTCTCCCCAGGGGGCTGTCGGAGGACACGGCCAAGGCCTGTATCAAATCGGTCGGCAAACTGCCCGGCTTCTCCAGATTCTCAGATCTCTGTGATACGTTTCTAAAAAATACAGCACTTAAACAACGTAAGTTGGGGCGATCTTCCATGATGTATTGATCACTGATTCTGTGTGTGCTCATCAGTGAATGCATGGGACATAGGGAGGACCATGTATGTTTGTTTGTTTGTTCTTTAACGCCATACTCAGCAATATTCCAGGTATATTATGGCGGTCTGTAAATAATCAGACCAGACAATCCAGTGATTGAAATCTTGAGTATTGATGCACGCAATTGGGACATGATGACATGCACCAACCAAGTCACTGTGCCTGACCACCCGATACTATTAGACGCCTCTTACGACATACCATCCCTCTTTTGTCTACTATATACCTACGTAGTCATTCATACTATGTACCGATCCAGTCATTCATACTATGTACCGATCCAGTCATTCATACTATGTACTGATCCAGACATTCATACTATGTACCGATCCAGTCATTTATACTATGTACCGATCCAGTTATTCATACTATGTACCGATCCAGTCATTCATACTATGTACCGATCCAGTCATTCATACTATGTACCGATCCAGTCATTCATACTATGTACCGATCCAGTCATTCATACTATGTACCGATCCAGTTATTCATACTATGTACTGATCCAGTCATTCATACTATGTACCGATCCAGTCATTTATACTATGTACCGATCCAGTCATTCATACTATGTACCTACCCAGTCATTCATACCCTCCACTTCTCTCACTATGTACCTACCCAGTCATTCATACCCTCCACTTCTCTCACTATGTACCTCCCCAGTCATTCATACCCATCTCATTCTATATTGCAGAAATCACCAACCTCATATCAGATATGCATGGGTGTGCTGACAAGATCATAGAGCTGTTCAGTGTTAAGGGAGGGGTGGGCGAGGGGCACCTGTCGGTGGACTCCAGCCTCATGTCCAACCCAGCAAAGCTGTGTTACACTGTCAGACAGGGCCTGAAGGAGGCAGCAGTTGGTAAGTCAGGCTCTACATCGGTGTGGGAATCAGATGTCACCTGGAATTCAGGGAGTCAGTAAGGGATGGATTCGAGGAATCAGTGAGGGAGGTGGTTTTAGGGAGTCATCGAGGGGAGGGTGAGATTAAAGAAGGCAGTGAGTGGAGGGTGGGATTCAGGGAACAAGATGGCTTTCAGGATTAATTTAAATCTGAGATAAGTGTTACCAAAGTTTCTAAGTGCAGTTAGTGTTACCTACCCTGCCTAACACAGAACTCCAGCAATGTAAACAAACTTGATGTACTGAGTATAAAATGAATCTTACAGAAACACATTTTTTAGACTTAGCAGCATATTTGATCATGATAATGCCTTGATCCTGGGTGCTGTATCATGAGTAGACTCTGTTCATTATTATGATCATGAAGAAGTAACCTGTCTGGTGGGTGGTATTGTGACTATCTGCATGTGTGTTTGTCCTTGTCCAGCCTGTGCCAAGCTGCTGATCCTTTGTGACCTCTTCTCAAAGAGGAAGGGCGAGCTGTCGCGCGAGGAGAGACACGAAATAATGAAGTATGCCAAGTCAAGGTGAGCTGGAATGCTGATACTACTGTTACAGTCAAAACAATTATGTAGGCACCTCCGTTATTTACACAGAGGTTATTTAGTCACCTCTGTTAATTACACAGAGGATATTTAGTCACCTCCGTTAATTACACAGAGGATATTTAGTCACCTCCGTTATTTTCACAGAGGATATTTAGTCACCTCCGTTAATTACACAGAGGATATTTAGGCACCTCCGTTAATTACACAGAGGATATTTAGTCACCTCCGTTATTTACACAGAGGATATTTAGTCACCTCCGTTATTTACGCAGAGGATATTTAGTCACCTCCGTTATTTACACAGAGGATATTTAGTCACCTCCGTTAATTACACTAAGGTTATTTAGTCACCTCCGTTAATTACACTAAGGTTATTTAGGCACCTCCGTTAATTACACTAAGGTTATTTAGGCACCTCCGTTAATTACACAGAGGTTATTTAGGCACCTCCGTTAATTACACAGAGGATATTTAGTCACCTCCGTTAATTACACAGAGGTTATTTAGGCACCTCCGTTAATTACACAGAGGTTATTTAGTCACCTCCGTTAATTACACAGAGGATATTTAGGCACCTCCGTTATTTACACAGAGGATATTTAGTCACCTCCGTTAATTACACTAAGGTTATTTAGGCACCTCCGTTAATTACACTAAGGTTATTTAGGCACCTCCGTTAATTACACTAAGGTTATTTAGGCACCTCCGTTAATTACACTAAGGTTATTTAGTCACCTCCGTTAATTACACAGAGGATATTTAGTCACCTCCGTTAATTACACAGAGGTTATTTAGGCACCTCCGTTAATTACACAGAGGTTATTTAGGCACCTCCGTTAATTACACAGAGACAATGTCACACTTGCCACCAATGAAAATGACCTTATCTGGAATGACCATGACCCCTCTTTATTAAACCACCTTCGTGAAAACACTGAGAGTACTGTGTGTGAGTGAGTGAGTCAGTGTTGTTGTTGTTTACAGGTTACCAGTATTCATGAACCAGCTACACAAGTTCCTGGAGGTCATCAAGCAACACACGTCCAGTCTCACTGCTCCACAGAGGAACGATATCGCCACCTACCTAGTGCCCGAGGTCAGGCTTGCCCGCCTTTTCTACGTTTATTTGATAGATGAATGATACTGATATTCATGGTATTTATGTGCATCTATTCAAGTGCAAAAGAGAAGGGATTTCAGAATTTAGAAAGAATGTAACAATTAGAATGATGATATAATATTAAGTCTGCTCAAGTGATCTGATGTGTATGATTGTGATCTGACGTAGGTTTTGTTAATGTGCAATGCATCACTATATGTAGAATCACATTAATTCGTCCGATGTTTTTGATGCAGCTTGCACTCATTGAGCATTTTGAGCTCCTGCAAGTCTTGTAAACTGTTTGCTCAAAACTCGGAATACCATCAAACGATGACTTGACTATTGTACCCTACTCACAAGAATCTTGATTGCTGTCTCAGCTGGAGACGACGCTGGACCTGATCTTCCGGTTTGCTGTGGAGACGAAGGATGCCCTGGACAAGGTCATCACCTCCAGCAACACGTCAGAGAAGTCCGAGAAATCAGACAAGCATAAAAAGGGGCATGTTGGAGACGTGTTAGGGAAGGCGCTAAAAAACGTGAGTAGAATGACGGACGGGTTCGGTGCAAGTGATGGTTGATTCATTGTATATGACTCATTCACTCCTGCATCAGGGCTCTGTGATTGTAGACTCTCCAGCAAGTGCAGTGATCATGAATACAAAACTATAGCAGGGAGGTGAGGCGAAATGGGGTTTAATGTCGCGTCCAAGATTATTGCACTCACATTGCGATGTGTCTGTATGTGTGTGTCTGTGTGTGTCTGTGTGTCTGGCTGCTTGCACTAGTTCAGACTGATGCCAATTTTATAGTGCTAGCTCACTGAGATACCATGCAGCAGGTTAACATGAATACCCCACTCAGACACAGTATACTGACTCCGAGCCAACCAGTCCTTGTTTTATCCTCTTAATGCCGAGCGCCAGACAGGGTAACAACAAAGAACAATCTTATAAAGTCTTTTGGTATGACACAGTCCCGGGGATCGAACCCTGGACCTTCCGCTCTCTGGGTGGACACTCTACCACTAGACCATGAGACTAGGCCGGAAATCCAACAAGGATGTGTATGGGTACGGATAAGTGATCTTAGTTAAGCAGGCAAGATTAATTAATGACAGGTCTATAAGTATGCCTAGGATGGCCAATAACAGTTTTGTCTGATTTATCATATGAAATACAGGTTCTATTTTGAAGAGTGCAGTATTCCATATTTACCATGTTTTAATGCCATGTTTACCTAATCTTTGATGATGATTGTTTCTGCATTTTCAGGCACTGCACATGAAAGAGCTCAAGAAACTGAAAAACTTCCATGACAGGACATCCGCAAGCTTCACACATCTAATGCAGAAGAAGTAAGTGATGTTGGGGGGGGGGAGGGGACGGGGATGACTGCGCAGAAGAAGTAAGTGATGTCAGGGCAGGGGGACGGGGATGACTGGGCAGAAGAAGTAAGTGATGTCAGGGCAGGGGGACGGGGCTGACTGGGCAGAAGTAAGTGATGTCAGGGCGGGGGGATGGGGATGACTGGGCAGAAGAAGTGAGTGATGTCAGTGCGGGGATGACTTGGCAGAAGAAGTAAGTGATGTCAGGGCGAGGGGCAGGGATGACTGGGCAGAAGAAGTAAGTGATGTCAGGGCAGGGGGACAGGGCTGACTGGGCAGAAAAAGTAAGTGATGTCAGGGCAGGGGGACAGGGCTGACTGGGCAGAAAAAGTAAGTGATGTCAGGGCAGGGGGACAGGGCTGACTGGGCAGGAGTAAGTGATGTCAGGGCAGGGGGACGGGGATGACTGGGCAGAAGAAGTAAGTGATGTCAGTGCGGGAATGACTTGGCAGAAGAAGTAAGTGATGTCAGGGCGGGGGGACGGGGATGACTGGGCAGAAGAAGTAAGTGATGTCAGGGCGGGGGGACGGGGATGACTGGGCAGAAGAAGTAAGTGATGTCAGGACAGGGCTGACTGGGCAGAAGAAGTAAGTGATGTCAGGGCGGGGGGACGGGGATGACTGGGCAGAAGAAGTAAGTGATGTCAGGGCGGGGGGACGGGGATGACTGGGCAGAAGAAGTAAGTGATGTCAGGGAGGGGGGACGGGGATGACTGGGTAGGAGAAGTAAGTGATGTCAGGGTGGGGGGACGGGGCTGACTGGGCAGAAGAAGTAAGTGATGTCAGGGTGGGGGGACGGGGCTGACTGGGCAGAAGAAGTAAGTGATGTCAGGGCGGGGGGACGGGGATGACTGGGCAGAAGAAGTAAGTGATGTCAGGGAGGGGGGACGGGGATGACTGGGTAGGAGAAGTAAGTGATGTCAGGGTGGGGGGACGGGGCTGACTGGGCAGAAGAAGTAAGTGATGTCAGGGTGGGGGGACGGGGCTGACTGGGCAGAAGAAGTAAGTGATGTCAGGGCTGGGGGGACGGGGATGACTGGGCAGAAGAAGTAAGTGATGTCAGGGCGGGGGGACGGGGATGACTGGGCAGAAGAAGTAAGTGATGTCAGGGCGGGGGGACGGGGATGACTGGGCAGAAGAAGTAAGTGATGTCAGGGCGGGGGGACGGGGATGACTGGGCAGAAGAAGTAAGTGATGTCAGGGTGGGGGGACGGGAATGACTGGGCAGAAGAAGTAAGTGATGTCGGAGAGAAGGAGATGCCTTGGTACAACAGTGTTTGGCTTGCTTGCATTTCTTGCTACAGTTCAGTATGAAGAACAAATCTGAATATGAAATGAAAATGTCATGAGGTCTTCGTTCTCAGGCAAGGCTTGCATCATCATAAAGTTCGCGGCACTTTTTGTTTTTATTTCCATTTTAAAACAACCCAAAAAAATCCATAAAGTCCAACGGTAGTCAAACACTATTCCAGTATTTTACTCATCAAGGAATACATTAACGTAGGGAGGCCCTTTCCCAGGTTGATTGCACACAATTGTTTATTTGGTTACATACTAGTTTGAACAACAACAAAAATTATTTAATTTTTGAAAGCATTAAAGAATTTAAAGGTGATCAGAATGAATGATTGCGAGTATAAGACAGCTGCAATTCATGTACTGACGGCAGGTCTAAAGGTGGAGAAAATATGGATCCTTCACAGTGACTTTTAAGATATAACTGAAATCCATCTGTCTGTAGTCCTACCCCATGTGATACGACGTTAGCTGTTGAAGCACATATACATACATGGTGTTAGATCACTGGCTGTCACAACTTGGAAGACATGTGTCTTATACTGTAAATCTTCTTAAACCAGTGTTCCCGTATACCGGTAATTACAAAATGTTTAGCCGTAGTTGATGTGACTGCCAGTCCCTGTGGACCGGCAAATAAAGTACCTCATAAAACTTTGTTTTTGGACAAAACATTGGCCATATGCATATAAGTATATTTTTGAATAAAGTCAGCTTGTCTGTTACCACCAGGGTTTCCCCTTGTCTACTTTTAGTGCAGGGTAATAACATTTCGCTTTGCTTCAAGGTTAAATATATATTTGTAGCAACTTAAGTTTTGAAATATTCAAAAATGAGACATTAAATTATGTATGAATGACTATAGATCTAACTATATTGCATTGCATTGCATTGCATTGCATTGAACATGATGTTGAAAGAATTAAAACCAGGTAATTTTGAAACGTTTTTTTTATTTTTTGAAAGTTTGGACTGACAAAAATTAGTGGGGGGACTGGTTATTTTTAGCCTTGCCAGTCCACTACGACTTGCAGTTTAAAAATCCAGCGGGAACACTGGTTAAACATGTCCAAAGATTCTTGTTGCCTTGTGTTATTGATGTTGTTTGTATTCTGTGTTCAGGGAGAACTTTGGTATGATGACACATGGAGAGAAAGTGAGGTCAGTCTCAAAAAACCTGGAACAAGTGATTGATGAGGTGAGTGAAAGTCCAGGCCTGGAAAGGTGATCGCAGCTCATGAATACCGTTCATTATGTCCATATTATTTGCTTAAACGTGTTTTAGCTATTGGTGGTGCACTTAAAGGGGTTCTTTCTTAAAGGCCTGGGTCAATTTCCACAGAGGTGATGATGTAGTTATGACTGACAAAAATCAGCATTGTGCAGAACAAATGAAAAGATATGTGATTTGTCAATCCATGTATTACCTCCTGGTGTGTGGAGTTGTCTCCCCTGATCACTGTTGGCACTGACTGTTCCAGGTGCCATTCTTTCTGGTGCGTCTTGAGGAGCTGATGGCGGCCTTGGATGAAAAGGTGACGTGGAGAGAGTGGAAATATCTCTTCAAACTCGGAACATCTAAAGTTGTAAGTACTTCTATCTCGTGACACCCTCAGTTACTGTGTATTGCATCAATCCCAGTAGATCCTCCTGAGTAGCCATGTTTGTTAAATCTCCAGCATGTCTCACACTGCTTCCCTGTACTAGTGCTGTCAAGTGGGCAAACTGTGAGTCAGTCTGTTACTTAAATGTGCTAGAATTCATCCTTGATAGTTTAAGGAGCGGCCACACATGGCATTTGTAGTAGCTGATCCTGATAATTTTGATGTACCAGTATGTTCAAAAACATGTCAAATGAAAATGATAAATAAAATAAATGATATTAATTTTGTCATGCATGTATTGTTCTTTCACATACAGGATATCATGATTAAATGGCAAGTAAAGTCAACATAGCTAATTTGCATATTTTAATACTTTTTTTTTATTCAATGAAAACATTTCGTTAAATATTTGTACTATTTTTTTCTTCAAAAGAACCTTTCCTCTTCTGCTGTTTTCATGTGGAATCAAGGAAACTAGACTTGATTTAGTTTGATCTAGACTTGCCTAGGATTTTAGTAAAAAAGATATCTATATGTATATAAATTCTGGTCAAGGCGCCGTAGTACAAGGTTGCATGTTTCTTGTGTGTAGGCCTGGGGTCTGGGCAAAGTGTTGGCCAACAAGTCCACTCTGCAGCATCTCATCGACCAAGCCTGTGATATCACCAACCGGGACCAGTTCACGGCGTCACTTGCGTCCCTGGGGCTGACGTCGCCGGATGCCAGTCAGGACAGCAGCGGGGCAGGAGGAGGCAGACAGAGTCACGGGCCTACCAAGTATGCTCAGGTCAGTCTCAGTAGCACCACAGCATGTCGTCAAGCAATCAACAGTTGTCATTTGATTACTAGAGTGAGTGAGTTGTGTTTAACGCCGCTTTTAACAGTATTCCTGTTATATCATGGCGTGTCAGCTTAATGTGGGAGGAAAGCCTGAAGTGATGCAGGTCTCAGACGTTTACCACCTCAGTAAAACCCACGAGCACGGGTATGGTGCTGACAAACCTAGAAACATAATCAGGGCGAAGCGGGATTCTAACCAACAATCATAGGTTTCTGGCGTGGCCCGAGGGACGCAACTCTGCACAGCAGATTGCGGCGCCTTAAACGACTGGGCCACCCATTGATCACTAGAATATCCTCTACAGTAAGGATTCAATGTGTATTTAAAAGAAGATGGTTTCTGGTGCCACATGCTTGCCACAAGATTAAGAATTGTCACCTACCATGCCTACCATGGGGATTGGTCGGCTACAGAGTATGGCTTGATTGTGTGTCAAGTGTCATGGTTTGGCTTCTACTAGTTTGCCTGGTCTTTGCCTATTGATTATTTGAAGGCACTCATGATGTAGGTGGAATATCGCTCATGGTGAAATATCATCACTCGTTAAGGTAGTCATTTCAAGGATCCTGATACCCTGTGCTTGTCATATGAGTGAACGACCCGTGAAGATCCAGGGTAGAATAGGTCTTCAGTAACCCATGCTTGCCATAAAAGGCAGCTATGCTTGTCTAAGAGGCGACTAACGGGATCAGATGGTCAGGCTCACTGACTTGGTCGATTCATGTCATCGTATCAAAATTGCATGGATCGATGCTCATGTCACTGGATTGTCTGTTCCAGACTCGAATATTAACAGACCACCGTCATATAGCTGGAATATTGCTGAGTGCGGCTTTAAACAACAAACAAACAAATCATATCAGTGAACAAAGTGGGTATCAGGTGGTCAAAATGGCTGCTGAGTATGACTAGTACCTGCACTTGATTCAGCTGTGACCTGGTAGATCCGTGGTTTGCCCCGTCTGCCAGATTTTAGGCAACTTTCTAGTCTGAATGACCATGGCAGACATTGTTATGTGCTATCTCAAGACTGTACCAACCCAACTGCAATCATCATAACAACATAACAACTATTTACATGAATATGAACGGTAAACTAAAGCTGTAAGGAACTGATGTTTTCCTCTTTCCTCCACCACGCCCATAGTTAACTCTGTAACCATGGTAACAGATCAAATTGATTTCCTACCTTGCAGCTCAGCTCAATAGAGTCCCTATGCATCCCTCCGTACGCCCGAGACAGCCGGACCGCCAAGAGGGCGCTGGAGCTGCTACGTAAAGGCGAGAAGACCGATATGACCTTTGAAATAGAGGTTGTGCACGGTGAGGTCCCCCTGGCATTCCGTTCAACAATCCTTTCCTCTCACTATCTTACAGGTCACTTATATATAACTCTTGGATTTATCGGCCCCCAAATCAGCAACAAGCATCAGTAAACATTCCCCAATTGAATATGAAATTTCCCTTATCATATTCAACTAATGTAATAGCTTTGTATAGGTGACTTTTGTTTCTCTGAAACTGGACTAGTAATGGTGTCTGCCTTGTTGCTTAGTTTTACTTCATTACATTGAAAGCAATATTAAAACAGAAATGGTTCAAGAGTTTCAGAAAATATATCCAAATTTGAATCAAAGTAATGATTTTTTTGTTGCCGAATCTGGCTGCCGTGAGCATAGAGTTTAGAAATCCTGGATAAATCTCTGATATTTGCATCTTTTGTGTTGAGGCCACTTCACAAAGTATCCCATGTGCCAAACCTTTGTTGAAGTGTTACACCTTAACTAATGCCAGTGCTTCTATTGTATCCATCAGAGGGTGGAGACATTGTGATTGACCACACCCACCCGGGTGAGCCGGTGGAGCGGACGGATGAGGGGGAGGTAGAGGTGAAGGAGGTGCGAGCTCACTGCGTCATTATTGCCGCTCGGTGTGACTGGTTCCGCCGAGCACTCCTCAGCGGCATGAAGGAGTCTATACACAAGTAAGGGAACTGTAGATTTGTTTGTGGATAACTGTAATTGTAGCTACACAATGATGTTAAACACAAAATGTATGTCATGCTGATACCCAGGAACACCCAGCTTTTGGCAGCCATTACTCCAAGGAGGAAGGGAAGTAACTCTGTTAGTACTGGTTTGAAAAGATACTCGCCTGACAACAGAGCTCAGAAACACACCACCTTTATCTCCTTGAACTTTGAAAATATTTTTTTCCCAAACCAGTTTTATTGCTTTGTAGACAAGGTGAATTTCTCATGGAATTGGTTCCAAATGTTTATTAATTCCTTTTCTCCTTGCAGAAAAATAACAGTTCATGATACAAATCCTGAGCTATTCCAGCTTTTCTTGGAGTATTTATATAGCGGCCAGTTGGAGACAAATGAGTTGTCAACAGAACAGCTAGCTGATATGACCACCCTCTGTGATAGATATGAGGTAAGAACATCATCCATGTCAACACCTCTCTGTGATAGATGTGAGGTAAAACTTCCCCATTCCATACAGTTGTGAGTGATATGAGATAAATACATCCCATATTCCATACAGCTGTGAGTGATATGAGATAAATACATCCCCATATTCCATACAGTTGTGAGTGATATGAGATAAATACATCCCCATATTCCATACAACTGTGAGTGATATGAGATAAATACATCCCCATATTCCATACAGCTGTGAGTGACATGAGATAAATACATCCCATATTCCATACAGCTGTGAGTGATATGAGATAAATACATCCCCATATTCCATACAGTTGTGAGTGATTTGAGATAAATACATCCCCATATTCCATACAACTATAAGTGATATGAGATAAATACATCCCATATTCCATACAACTATAAGTGATATGAGATAAATACATCCCCATATTCCATACAGTTGTGAGTGATATGATGCGGAAGGTTTCACACAGGCTGTTATTGCAGATGGACAGCCTCAAGTCAGTGTGCGAGCATGCTCTGAAACACCACATCGATGATGAGACGGCCCTGTACCTACTCAGCCTGGCTGACCAACTGCACTGTAAATTTCTCAGGGTGAGTACTCAGCTATTAACTTATTATTTTTCTCATGTATTTATTCCCTTAAGCATGATATGCATACAATAAAAAGTCTATATTGAACTGGCACTGTTGTATGGCAAGAGTTATCTGCCCCTGTCAGCACTGTGGCAAAAATTCTGACATTTGGAGAAGAACTGAGTGAAACAAACTGAGATATATTACATTTCTGTCTTGACTTTGTAATATCAGTCCATTTCAGAGTTTCCCACAAAACTTGTTGAGCAAAAAATCAGTGTTACCAGAAGACATAAGCTATAAAACATAATAGATTTGGTTCTTAGGCATGTCGTATCATCATAAATTTCGCCGCATGTTTGGTTTTTATTTCCATTTTAAAAACAAAAAACAAAAATCCATAAATATTCCAAGTCCAACAGTAGTCAAATACTGTATTTCAGTATTTTACTCAACAAGGAATACATTTTTGTGGGGAGGCCCTTTTCCAGGTTTATTGTACACAACTGTTTATTTGATTACATACTAGTTTGAACAACAACAAAATCAATTACCTGAGAACCAGTTCTTTTATTTTTGTAAGCCTTAGTATGACTGTGGTGTCAATCTGTGTGTTGCAGGAGACGTCACTGCACTATATCACCGAGCACCACAGCCTGGCGGACAGCGAGGTCTTCGAGGACCTGCCCGAACATCTACAGGCGGAGGTGGAGGACGCCATTGCCTGGCACGGGTCAGTATCTGGACACTGTGACTGCATGTGGTGTTACACACTGGCCAGCTGTGTCATGGCGCCAGATAAAGGTGCAAGCATCAACAGGGTGACCCACACACAGCAGTCACTACAAAGAGGATTGGGGGGTCCCAGTAACTTGACAGCATCCATCTTCCCCAGGCAAGGGAGTTAACTCACTATAGAAGTCCAGTTTCCACCCTTGCAAAACTAGACTGGAATTATTGAGTTATATTTTGGCTGAACAAACAAAACTATGCATAGTCCAATCAAAATTGTGTAACAAAATCAACATCAACATCATAAAATGCTGTGCATATTTCGGTCAGTTGCAGGATTTGCCAAGCATGTGTACCGCCAACTCACCATCAACAGATATGTTCCAAACTTTTCATGTTTTTAATGAAGGTGCTCATGTGATTTGATGCACTTTGCGAAGTAAGACGTTTTGTTACAATAGAGATCTTGATTATCAATCAGATCGTCCTGACTGGGCACCGCCATTTTGTTTGAAGGAAATGCAAGTGATATGAGAAGTAAAATCTGGTTGGTCAAAAGAAGGGACATAACTCTTAATAGCTACTAGTGGGGTGATGATCAGGCCCAGAAATTCCAGCCCATTTCGGCAAGGGTGGAAACTGGACTTTTACAGTCAGTTAACTCCCTTTCCTAGGGAAGATGGACAGCATCGATCATTGCTCATGCTGTTAACCACTGGTTCCAAAACAAATAAGTGACTGAGATGTAAACATTTTGTGACACCTTGTAGACGCCATTACACTTGTCGATGAGATGTCCTGGCTGACCTGAGGGGTCTCACATTATTTGTATATGCACATGTACTGACAAGCAGAGACGAAGAGGTCAGTATTTTTGTAGCTGGCACGTAGATGTGGTCCCTAGCAACCCGTGCTTGTCGTAATAGGCGACTTAGTGGATCAACTGGTCAGCCTCACTGACTTGATTGACTGCATGTTATCATCTGGTCCGTTGGTCCGTATTTCGTTTCCAGAGCAGAACTTGAAAACCGTGAAAGAATTTTCATCCAAACTTGCCACATGTATTAACCAGGGAATGAAGTGGTGCTCTTTGTTATTGGGGGATTTGTCATCTTCTGATGACTTTTGTATCCAGGCTCAAACATCATGGTCTTATAGCTGGAAAGTTGCGGAGTGTGCGTTAAACAACAAACAACATCTGGGGTCTGTTTGGGCTTTCCCCAACATGAGGCTGATACGCTATGGTATGAACTCATGGATGATGCTCATATGGACTTGATTTACCCCAGACAGAAAGACGCTGTGTATTTGCCACGGTTTAACCAGTGTAATAATGAACATTAGGGGACATCCTTGGTACAGTTTGAAGTCAGTTCCGTCGTTTTTGTTTTATCACTTGTGTTTTGTGTTGCCTAGCAGGCTGGAGCCGCGGACAGCTCGGTTGCGTGCCGGACCCCTGGTGGACACACCTAGCTCCCTGTCCAGTGTCAGCGAGGTGGACGAGCTGATGACCAACATAGATCTCATGGATAGGGTGAGAAGAACACTTCTTCATTGTTACAGCACAAGACCCCTCAAAAATAAAAAAAATCAATTCAAAATGCATGGTTTTAGAAAAATTGATTTGGACTGCTGACCTTTTTCCTGTTCTTAGTGTTAAGATGTGTGTCTGTGTTTGGTCGTGCTATGACATGAGATGAAAGTACAGGTTTTATTTTAGGAAGAATGTGTGCATTTTTTTTGAAGCAATTAGATAATCTCTTTATCAACGAGTTTTGATATGTTTGATATTGAAAGACAAAAGGCTGAGATTCTACAAGTTTTTTAGTTTGTACACATAGTAAGTAACCAGTGTCATGAGTCAGAAATGTACAACTAACTAGCTTCAGTGGCAGTGATATTAGTGGTGTCATCTGATTGCTATCCAATGATGTCACAATGGTCTGCAGGGCATTATGATGCAGTTTCATTGTAGCATTACATTATCTCCTAGGAGATACTGCTTAATGTCGCCCACGCAGTGTCTTCAGTGGAACTCACTCACTCACTCACTCACTCACTCACTCACTCACTCACTCACTCACTCACTCACTCACTCACTCACTCACTCACTCACTCACTCACTGTGTTCCATCATTGCAGCCCCATGACCTGTCCACCTCGAGCTCCTCGGAAGACTTACCATTCATGGAGGACCCATCACGCCTGGAGTCCTGCCTGGACGCTCTACGCGACATCGTTGGCGACACAGTGCCACAAGATGAACTCGTCCGCATAGCAATGGCTGCCGACTATGACACAAACCGAGCACTTAATTTCTTCTTCTCTTCATAGCACAGGGAGTGTTTTAGTACACTATGTAATATAGGATCATTGATGTACAATATTTGACTAAGATGTTGTCAAAGTATCTCTACTGCAGTTCAAGTGGTGCTTTCCTGGCTGGTGAGATGGTCCAGACATCGTGGACACTGTTCTTCCTCTAGGATACCTTGAAACACAACTGGTATCAGCTTGTTAGATCAGCCAGTCTCTGTGGGCCTCTGTACAACACTGTACAACATGATGCAACACTGTACAACATGACACGAGTCTATACAAGACTATTCAACTTCATGTAGTACTACCATATACAACACTGTGCAACATGAGACAATAACATGATACAACTGTATACAACATGATATGAGTCTGTACAACATGATACAAGTCTATACAACACTATTCAACTTCATGTAGTACTACCATATACAACACTGTGCAACATGATACAACTGTATACAACATGATATGAGTCTGTACAACATGATACAAGTCTATACAACACTTCAACTTCATGTAGTACTACCGTATACAACACTGTGCAACATGAGACAATAACAGGATACAAGTTTATACAACATGATACAACTTCAACAACATGATGCAACAAATATCCCAGTGTTATGGGTTTACGGACGCTTAAGAAACATTCATACTTTTCTCGCTAATCACATCAACTGTAAAACATCTCACTCACTTACATTAGACTGCTTTATCTTAAAAACAAGCTATCATCTGAGGAAATACAATGTCTGTGTGACCCCACACCTCTTGCTATCGCATGAGTAATTGCGATAAACATAGCCGTCCGATCCGACAACCATGTTGTACAACATGATGTAACAGTATCAAACATGCTACAACGGCATGATGTACAACACTATACATGCACTGATTCTTAATATCATTATCATGTACGCTGACCGAGATACAATACGTGAACGGGTGATGCTAGGGCTGGGATGGGTAACTCGGGTACTCAGGTCAGGTGGGTACTGAGTAGGACCCGGGTACCCACAGGACTACCCGGACCCATGGTTAGTCACGTGATATATTGTTTAAGGACAAAAATTACCCAGCACGATATGGTTACACTACAGGTCACTCATGTTCGCATTTCTTTCTGATGATGCACCCATTCCTTCTGACTTTTATGTGTTTTAATGAAAATAAAACTTAAGTCAACTTCAGTGTATGCATGACCAGATCGTTTTATACATGTATCTAAATACATTTTGTGAGGGATACGGGCAAACTATTCCCAGAATCTGACATTTTGTACCTATCTCTTGAGACCTACAGTGGTTGGTAGGGTTGAGTTATGGGTGGTGGGGTGGGGATGGGGGGTGGTGGTGGTGTATACCTCAGTAGTAAATTTTGTCTCATCCCATCCCTAGGTGATGCCTACATGAAATATCCCCATGTATTGTCAGATAATCGCTCAATTTGTGATAGACTTCTTCCTGGTTTCAAGGTTTACTGTTTTGCCCATCCACCAGGAAACAAAAGGACTTTTAAACATTGGCACATAAATCCTGACTATATAAGATATGTCACTTTCTCACTATTATAGATGTATCATTTGTAGGAAGTACCATGCTAAACAGAGTTGTGTCCCTTCTCTGCCAGGATCCACTGCTTGTGGTTTCTACATCACTCCTAAGGATCCTTGGTTTGTCAACGATCTTCGTCACATTTGGCCTTCTCCCCATATTAGGGTAACATGTCTGTTGAAAGCAGTGTTAAGCCCCAACTCTGTATCTTACATGAGAGGGGGCACGGGTGGCCCAGTCGTCTAAGGCGCCGCGATTCGCTGTGCAGAGTTGCGTCCCTTGGGCATGCCAGAAACCTATGATTGTGGGTTCGAATCCCGGTTCGCCCCGATTATGTCTCTAGGTTTGTCAGCACCATACCCGTGCTCGTGGGTTTCACCGAAGTGGTAAACGTCTGAGACCTGCATCACTTCGGGCTTTCCTCCCACATTAAGCTGACACGCCGTGATGTGACTGGAATACTGTTAAAAGCGGCGTTAAAAACCCAACTCACTCACTCACTCACTCACTCACTCACTCACTCACTCACTCACTCACACTCTTACATGAGAACATACACCACTGGCACTAGTTTCGCAGGATACATACTGTGTCACGCTAGGCAGTATTTTAGCAATGGATCACGTTGACCAATAACTGTTAAGTGACATGGTGATTGGTGTCTCAGATCTACAGAACACTTACATCCACAAGCCAGACAGTTGACAACACACAAACTATGAGGGCACAATATACAGACTAAGGCATTACTTTAACGTTTAAGAGATCTTGTTCGTCTAAAATGATAATCATCATGTTTTGTTCTTTGATTCTAGACTACTTTTAAAAATATTCAGGCAAAAAAAACTGCTTTGATCATTTGGTTTAGTTTACTTTTTCACTTATTTATTGAATTTGTTTTACTAGTTTGAAACATGGAACTTCAGGATTTAGACATTTCAAAGTTTGTGTGTCAATGTAGATAAGTGTTGTAGACAAGTTGCTAAGAAAGCATGTTTTTTGTGGCATTGTTTAACTGTTTAATTTTGCACTCCTGTTTTATTTAAGATGTTTCAAAAAGAACAATGTTTTTTAGTTCTTGGCCAAAACAGTTAAGGAACAATATCAAAATCATTGCTGTAATTTTAATGTTTCTCTTGTTGACCCCGGACTTATTCCGTGTGTATTTACAAGTATCCTTTGGTTCCATTAAACTAGTACCCATTGCTGTTTCGGTGAAACCTCTTGCCTGAGTATTACAGAACTCTCTCTCTATAAATATTAATTATCGATTTATCTTACAAATGTTCTTCAATTTTGTATTTTCTTGTCATTATTTACTTAAGAATGTCATATTTCTTTTAGAGGTGTGTTGAATGTAATTTATGTGATAAAATGGTGATATTTATTATACTACAAAAGAAAAGCTATTTATTATTGACTGAATGTGATTAGTCTTCATGACCCATGTATTATTGTAGCAAACATGACAGTTGGGAGAGAATGGTTGGTCTGTTTCATATATGTATTAGTACCATGGCTTGCAAAGCAAAAAAATCTGTTTCTTTTTTTATATAATCATACATATATATTCAATATTGAGCATTTTATTTTGGATTGAACAAATACTTCTTTTATATCCTGCTTGTATTTATTTCTATTTAAGACATGTAAATGACGTCCAGTATTTGTCATGGTTTCTCACGGCTTTTGTTTTTAATGGTGAAAGTTTCTTCAGCTTATCATCACTGCTAATTATTAACTTACAACAGGTAATTAATATATTTGTGAGTACAATTCTAAATTCAATTTTACCAGTAATCAGGAAGTGAAATTTTGTTTAATATTTTTTTAAACTTTCTTTGAAAACTTTTCTTTTAATTAACAAGATTAATACTCACTGCACTTTTTCTATATGTGCATCCGAGGTATTTTTTGGTAAAGGAAAGCAGTGACAATAATTGTCTCCCTTCGTTGGGTATTCTGGATTTAATTTTATTCACTTATGAACAAACTCCATTCATGAATGACATAAGCATCGTGGGTATTTTTTGTTATAGATACATGTTGCAAAGAATGTTTCTCTTCATTGTGTCCTGCATTTACTTTTATTGTATTATTGACAAACTGTTTTAGTTCTGATTTTATTGAGTTGCTAGCATACAGCAAGTTATTTCTCTTGTGTAGTTTGACAGGCTTGACAGTATTGCTTCTCAACAGTGATACATGTTTGCTAATAACCTGACTACAATAAGAATTACACAGCAATCAGTTCTTGAATGTGTAGCATCACAAGATCTCAGCCGCAGTATATGCTCACAAATAAAATCTCAAATGTGATGAAAAGAGCTTCATAATAGCGGATTAGGGAGTGATTTGTGTTGGGTGTGCTGTATTTCCTTAAATGCCGGGCCTCGAATAAACGCTTTGGGTGTCAATTAAACACTACCTAGTTATTATGTACAGAATTCTCCCTATTATTATCTTTTCGATTAAACACCAGCGGTAAAGGGTGTCTGACAGAAATATACGCCTGGGTGTTTAATGGATGAAATATGGTATGTTAAGTTAAAGTTGTCCAATGGTTTTGAATCTGTGGAAGTTAATCTTGTGAAATGAATGTCTGAAGGTCAACACATACTAACAGAAATGTTTTCCCCAAGTAATTAGCACTAAATGTAGTGACCTCAACAGTTACGAGGGAAGTGTAAATGACAGTTTCCAGAAAACTAGTCTATGGAAGTGTAATGACAGTTTCCTGAAAACTAGTCTGTGGAAGTGTAATGACAGTTTCCTCAAAACTAGTCTATGGAAGTGTAATGACAGTTTCCTGAAACTGTAGAAGTGTAATGGCAGTTTCCTGAAAACTAGTCTATGGAAGTGTAATGACAGTTTCCTGAAAACTAGTCTATGGAAGTGCAATGACAGTTTCCTGAAACTGTGGAAGTGTAATGACAGTTTCCTGAAAACTAGTCTATGGAAGTGTAATGACAGTTTCCTGAAAACTAGTCTATGCAAGTGTTATGTCAGTTTGTGATATTACACATACTTGTGCCCAATGCACGTCCTTAGCTGTGTTTTTATACTGCAATATGATGATGGTAAAAAATTAAGCAACACTAAATATTAACAATATTTTATGATATTTGATCACTTTGTGGAAGAGCCCAGGCTACAGTCTCCATATTGTCCATACTGTTTTGTGATGTACTAATGAATTCTGTGGATATTTTGAGAAATAAATAAACACAGTTATTCCAAATCCTACAAATGTTTAGTGTATTACATGTATTACCAGCTGCAAGACAATCGTCAAAATGTGGTTATATTCCCTGTGATGTTCGTGGCACGTAAGCATTGCAAGATAAAATGTTGCTTATCTTTTTACCAAGAGTATACATTAATAATAAGGCTTTAGTTCCATTCTACCTAACCTGATCATGTTAGCCATAAGATCTTTGGACTCAATCTGAAACTTTGCACTGAATTAACATTGGTAAGTTCAAGAACAATACAATTGAAATAATATTGCTGATTATTGAAATATTTTGTGAAAACCTAAGTCGGCACTCAAATTATTGTGGCTGTTTTGGGATCATAAAATGAGACACCCTTATATGGAGCTTTAAATCCTGTGGATTGATGGAAATCAAAAGTCTGTTTTGGTACTAGTATTGATAAATGGCATATTTTTTACTTTTTTTAGATTCATGTCCCTTGAAAATATTGCATCATATCGCCAACATTCATTGATATTAAAACATATTTCATAATAATAACAAATCAGCTTAAACAGACATTTTTTTCAACTCAATTTTACCTTAATTCATTGCTGAGATCCATTTTTTTTTCAAATGTTTGTACCACTTTGATTCTTCAGAAGGTACTGTCACCCACAGCTAGTTCCATCTCCTCGAAGTAAACATCTACAACATTAAGTATCTCTGACAGCAGAAACAGTTGTCTCGACTGACTGACTGCAGGAAGTGTGTTGGTAGATGAGGCAGTACACGGCAGTACACGGCAGTACGAGGCAGTACGATGCAACTGGTTATGCACTTGCAATGCTATTTACACCTACTTCAAGTAACAGTGTAAAACTTTTTGTACATTACTGTACATAAGCAACATATTGTATATAATGCAGTTTTGTACAGATTTACAATTTCTAGAGAATGTTTCAGTATGAAAGGGCACATAGTACTGGGCATAGTAATACTTCCTCTTATTCTAAAGATTGCTTGTTGATTAATATTTTGTAATGAATAGGAAATCTGTTGTATTGAGTACATGAGTTTGTAGCAGCAGCTGGTGCTGCTGGTTGATACGGCTGTGATGGTACTGCATGCCCAGTGTTATCTTGCATACCGTGCCAGGGCTGTGGTTCATTCCCTACAGGTGAGGCCAGAGAGAGGTGGGCGAGACTGATGTGCAATCATTGTATTAAATACTAAAGCAAAGTGATGGTTGTGTTATTTGTTACTGTGAATAAGCTTTCTAGTTAAAACTACATCGAACACCACTTTCATGTATGAATGAAGTTGGGTGTTATTGCTTTGAAGGGGGACAAACATCTCATCTCACACAGTATCTCTGTTCTTGATCTGCTGGTCTTCGGTCCTCATTGCGAGATTATGAGGCTTTTCCCTCACATTCAGCTGACAATGACCCGCTCAATGACTAGATTTGCAGCATGTCCTTGTACCAAAACGGATTGTTTGTTGTTTAATGCCGCACTCAGCAGTATTCCAGCTTTATGATAGCAGTCTGTAAATAATCAAGTGTGGACCAGATAATCCAGTGGTTGATATCATGAGCAATTGGGATCCAATGACATGCATCAACCAAGTCAGCAAGTCCTACCACCCGAACCCATTCGTTGCCTCTTACGACAACGGATTGCAGCACACAGGATTGTCTGGTCCAGACTTTACAGGCCTGCGTCATATAGCTGGAATATTCAAGAACAGCTCACAACGAAATACTGAACAATTATTCGCTCAGTAGTATTGTATGATGAAATTTTTCCAGCAGAGCGTCAAAATAACAGAAAATCATATGATAAGAGAAATGTATTTATTTACAACTATGTACCTGGCTGTTCCATTTATTGCACATGGCTACATTGATGTAATCACAAAGCTTTCATATGTACAACTGCCAGTTGATAACATTCCTAGTAACGGAAATAATCACATTGAAACTTGATAATGAGAAATGAGTACACCATACAATATGCATATAAGCCATTAGTTCTTGAACCATATTAGTCCATACAAAGGTTAGTCAGGAGGATACACATTATCTACACAATGCTTAAGACCCACAGACAAGTGGTACCTCCTCGATGAAAACCAATACCTTTCTATACAATGTCAGTGTGGCAAGAATAACATCAATACAAATTACCCAGTCATCACATTTAAGCACAAGATCCGCTGTTGGGAAATAGTTTTTTGCATTTTAAAAAAAACCTAATTGGAGGTAGATACATTCATGCCTTCTAACAGAACTGTAATAGATATCAGACAGTAATGTAAATTGTACACAATTGTACTCTAGCTGCAAGCGAAATATATTTTTAAAATAATCGTTTGCCACACTGAGACTGAAAGAAAGCTACAAGTTGCATTAATGTTGAAATGCCAAGCCCATGGCTGAAGAGAGATTCAAAAGAAAGTCTAACTTTACAATTATCGCTTTTCAACTTAACTACATGCCCAGATCTGATCATAATTATGGAGTATGTATGCCAATCGAATCAATTCTAAAATTTGGCAGCCATAGAAAAGCTAGGGTCACATATAGTCACCACTTGCAGGAACTACATGTATTAAGAAACAGGTATTCCCATCATATGGACACTTTTTTGGATTGTTTTCTATTCTAAACATTTGCATTTGTTAAGAGACAAGACAGTGTTCTTTCATAACCATCAGTTTGTTTGTTTGTTTGTTTGTTTGTTTGTTTGTTTACCCCCATCAGGATGTTGATTACCCAAGTCTCCAAGAGATTAACAGTCATCAACAGAAATATGTTACATCCTCGGATCTACAAGAATGATTAGGTAACCCGTATGTAGGCGAGGCTGTGGTACACATGCGAGTAGTTTGTTCATGATGCTAGATGATAACAAGTAACATTCAAACACATCTGTACAGTATTTACATCAGTAGCACTTTCATAAAAACAAATTACATATTGACCCTTGTGCATAATGATTAATGATTGTGGCACCATATATGAGATGAAAAGAGCAGCGCGAACTATTTGAGGCTACAGTTCTCAACAACAGAACACATTGCAACAACAAACATGTTCCGTGTCATGTTCCGTGTCCTGGCTTAAACATGTTCCGTGTCCTGGCTTAAACATGTTCCGTGTCCTGGCTTAAACATGTTCCGTGTCCTGGCTTAAACATGTTCCGTGTCCTGGCTTAAACATGTTCGTGTCCTGGCTTAAACATGTCCGTGTCCTGGCTTAAACATGTTCCGTGTCCTGGCTTAAACATGTTCCGTGTCCTGGCTTATACATGTTGCTCAGGCAGGTGGACAAATCATAGAGCTGCCTTTTTTTATAATAATTTCTGTAACTAAACCAGTATTCATTTAAAACAGTAAAACATTTGAAGATTGATCTGTCAATGATGCAGGAGCAAACATAACAGGGTTGAATCGAGGTCAATAAATTGCTGTCAAATTAATTATTGTAATGTTAATAACAGGAAATTGCCTGTCAGACTACTTATATTTCCAAAAAATGTCATGAGGGAATTTTCAGGATTTTATCAACACTTGATAGAACAATCTTCTGTTTCATTACCATATTTGAATAAGATCTTCAGGACATTTTAGAATACAATCAGTCAATGTCCTTGAAGACATACCAATCTGAAAGCCTGCATGAATTTAAGGTTTGAACTGTTGCTTGTGTCAAACTCCCTTTCTTTCACCAGCAAACTTAAAGCAGGCTTTAAAAAAAAAAAAAGACTAACAAAACATCTTAAGCAATTTATTAAGTAATGACAGTGACTGCCTCTGATATCAAAGAGATAGTAAGTTCTCTCAAAAATACAAATAAATTAATTAGTTTTATCAGCTTCATCAACCTTTTGATAACCTCCCAAATCAAAGACAACTGCTCTATGAATGGCTATCTAAGAATGACTGTTGAATTGTCTGCCTGCAGGGGCATGGCACCAACACTGAGACCAATGTCATCATGTCACAGCAGACTGGGAAGCACTACACGGAATGGTTCAACAAAACAAGGTACTGTGGCCCTACAGATCAACATTAACGTATCACATCCCCTTGAAGCTAATTACATGCCACTGTCAGTTCTAATTAGGGCTGGGACGATACACCAACTGTGCGATCCGATACGTATCACGATACCTTGCTCACGATCCGATACGTATCACATCCCCTTGAAGCTAATTACGTGCCACTGTCAGTTCTAATTAGGGCTGGGACGATACACCAACTGTGCGATCCGATACGTATCACGATACCTTGCTCACGATCCGATACGTATCATGATACTTGCATGTGCACTTATCTGTGATGCGTAAGCCACTTTTTTCATAGACAGGATTGCCAAATACCTGGCACACTAATGATTAACAGTTGGCAGTGTCAGGTATGGCACAATGGAAGAAAATATTTACGTTTTCCCTACTCATTTTCATTAGTAATTAGTGTTTGGTGTAACACTTATTCAAGAAAACATATAAAGGTAAGAAGCGATACTTTTTACTGTAGAGAAGTAAAAAATCACTATCCAGCGATGCTTCGGTGTATCGTCCCACCACTAGTTCTAATGTAACTATGATAGTATCATGGCCCACATTAGCTGACTAAGCAGCTGAACTTGCTTCATAAGGATTCAAATGAATAATCCCTGGAGTACAGACAGCAGCCTTGTGGTACCATGTCCTGGCAGATCCTACAAACCCATGCTTGTTGAAGTAGACTAAGATGAGGATCGGTTGGTCACAATGTGTGACCTTGCCAAAGGTGTGTCATCCATGTGGACTGTGCTCCTGCAATCAATCACTGGTTTGCCAGGTCGAGGCATGGCTTGAATATTGCTACTTGGGACAGAAACAGCTCAATACAGTGGCTCTAAGTTGGCAAAGCACGACTAAGCAGCAGCTGCCCCTGGTGTGTGTCAGGTTAGTCGAACATATCACAGGATTCATAATGACAATCACAACACAGCTAACAGATAACAGATCTACAGTAGGCGATATTACATGGTGAGGAGTCTCTGTATTATTGTGTTCATTATTGTGTTCATTATTGTGTTCATTATTGTGTTATTAGAATATCTGTAAATATAGGTCTGTAGATTTGTTTCCAGGACTACTTAACACTCGCATGAGGTAAAGATCAGGCTGAGTAAATGTGACCGATGAGGCCCAACTTGACAATAATCACAGGAACTGCAGGAGGCCCCCACTGAAGCCGGAGGGCACCAGAGGCACCATATCACAGTAAGTCTGATAGACAAGTCATGTGTGCTTTCCTTACACTGAGACCAGAATCCCAAATGTCTGATTGATACAATACAGTTGAACAGTGCTGGACCTTTGTGAACATGGTCCAGTGGGCTGATACATCACGTCTCAGTCCTACCACTCCTATGTGTGCCGACACTCACGGATAGCGTTTCAGCTGCAGCATGGCCCGAAACATGAAGGTTGACACTCTGTGTGCCCCTCTTGTGATTGAAGCATGGGCCCGAGACTATGGACACACACTTGGACATATGACACATCTCTTCATACCATACATTGTTACATGTAGAAAACAAACCACCTTTCCTTTTGAAACAGAATCCTGTACCATCCAAACTTCAGCTAAGAAAGGCAGCGGTGTTACATGCAGAAAATAAACCACCTTTCCTTTTGAAACAGAATCCTTTACTATCCCAACATCCTCTTAGAAACACAGCGGTGTCACATCCCTGGATGCACCACTTCTAGTGCTGTAGAGGTTGAAGCAAGAGACCGTGGCATTGACATTTGGCTAAGAGCTGGACAGACAGGTGCTTGTTGAGAGACCCCCCGACTTGCTCTCTCTACATAATGGGTTCTCTGCGTGTATCGGGTTCTCCCTGTATCACAGGCTATGTCCTCATCTTCTGTTTGGTATCACAAGTTAGGATGAAGGGATAAGTTCCTTGAGTGTGGAAAGACACAATTGATGGCACGAACTTGCACACATTGCAAAATTCTCATGTCCTATCAAGTACGCACAGTCCTCCTCCGAGATGCATTTGGTGCTGCAAACAAAGAAAACACACTTATAGCTGCATATTCACAAACACACATGTTACAGAAGAACACGAATATAACAAACACGGATAGAGCGAACAAACATATACCAGGAACTATTACAAAATCCCTGATTTATCGGCTATATATTATCATATAAAACTTATGTACAAAACGAACTCTCTCCAGCGAACATATATATAGAAAGCTGATATCTGATCCCCAACAAGCCCATCTACCACTAATTAGTGCCGCGTATAGCAAACTGAGAAATCTCACTAAGTGTCAAGTGTCACTGACACAGCGTTAGAAATTGGCACTAGTCCTATAGTCCTTGCCAAACTGCCCAATAGTAAAGGTATCATAAGGACCAGTAGAAATTTGCCATTTTTAAGGGTTTTGCTATATGTTATCATTATGAGGACTAGTGGACTGAAACTGTTAGTTTCTACCGCTGTGACAACTGGCTGTACGCAATCAGCGGCGAATCAACACAATCGCAGTGCTTCAACACAATCAAACTATTCAAACTTGTTAAACTTGCTCTATATTAATCTTACCTGTACTACCCGAAGGTGGATGTTTCTGAGCAAAAACGTGTACAACACACAACGTACATAACAAACTGATTTCTCCAGTCCCTTGTAGTTACATCCATGTTCTACTGTACTCCTAACAAGTTACAGAACACCCATTTCTTTTGTATATGTCTAAAATTAATCTGTCAGTCAAAGAACACCCGATTTTTCATATGACTATAATTAATCTGTCATGCAATGACATATTAACTATAGTCATATAAACTTATTTTGAACACACACTGATTTATGGTAAAGAGCAGTGATCACCTCCTAAATAAATAAATCAACTATTGATAAATACTAAACTAGTTTTATATGAAAATCTTTCTTAGCTGATATGAAAATCCCAACAGTGAGTTTTTCTAACACCTACCCACCAGCCCTTGTTTCAAGTAATCTATTAGCATAGGTACCAATTAGGTGAATATAAGTTTCTTATCTTAACGATTAGTTGTCAATATTCAGGCAAGTACTTAAAAGAATGAGTTGTTTTGCCTGCATGAACACTTGGCCCTTATATGCAGGTCACTAGTTCAAGTTCAAGTTTATTTCTAAGGACATCAGACCTGATCTGTCAACACATCTTTCTACAGCAAATGCACATTGCTTATCAGAAGAGTGAACAAAAACATCCCCCCCAGATCCAAACCCATCCAGGTGGCTGAAGAACATACGGAATGACTAAGATTATGGTCACTCAAATTCAAATCCTCTACGCTCTTCCCTAATGGGATATATACAAGTAGATACATTAAGCAGATCAAACAATTTCTCACATTAACAAACTTCATAATACTAGCTTGTTTTTATGACATAACTGTCAAAATATAACATAGGCATATATCACTATGTTGTGGACAGAGTATAAGAACAGGATATTCGTCCTTTACATATAGTCCAATGTTGACATTCGTCCTCTACACAGGACACAAGACAGTGGACATCCTAATTGTGATGGAGAAATGCGAGCACTCATAAAGTCAAATACCACAACACACTCATTCACACATTATTAATGGAATTTGTGAACTGTTCTTGTAAATCTGCAAATTTGAGTATCAATCATCAACATGTCTCAGATTAGATTGCTGTGAAATGGGCTCCAAAGGGAGTTAAAATTAATACAACATTCAATCAGGATTCACCACACAAGTGCTGTTAAGAGAACAATGTTAGTGAGGTCAAACATAACGAAGAAGGACAAACTCAGAATGCTTCCTCTATACTATCCTCCATGAGGCCCCACAGCGACACCTTGGCTGAAACAGGGCAGGAGGAGGGTGAGCCAATGGAGACACAAGCTGATGGGGAGTGAGATGAAGTATGGGCTGATCTGCTAGTGTTGGACAAAGGTGATCTCAGCCCCCTTCAAGGCCATCTCGGCTCTACAACTCTCGTAACTAACTTGATATGTGCTTGTGGGGTGATCTGCTAGTGATGGACAACGGTGATCTGAGCCCCCTTCAAGGCCATCTTGGCTCTACAACTCTCGTAACTAACTTGATATGTGCTTGTGGGGTGATCAGCTACAGTTGGACAAAGGTGATCTCAGCCCCCTTCAAGGCCATCTCGGCACAACAGCTCTCGTAACTAACTTGATATGTGCTTGTGGGGTGATCAGCTACTTTAAAGGAAAGCAACTTTTCCTGTTACAGGAAACACGCTTCTGACAAGAGATCTGGGCCTGTTTCACAAAGCAACATTTCTGCAATACATCTTAACTAGACTTGAGCCAGAGGTTAACAGTATGAGCATGTCATCAGGGTCATGGTAGACTCAATAAGGAGAGTCAGAGCTAATGGTCATGTAAGGTGGTCACCGTTCAAGTATCATACAGCTTTATTGCTTCTGGGACAAAGAAGTGACAGATCTCTATCAATTTAGGACAACATGAGTGAGTGAGTGAGTGAGTGAGTATGGTTTTACGCCGCTTTTAGCAGTATTCCAGCAATATCACGGCGGGGGACACCAGAAATGGGCTTCACATTGTACCCATGTCGGGAATCCAACCCAGGTCTTCGGCGTGACGAGCGAACGCTTCAACCACTAGGCTACCCGACCGCCCCTGGACAACATGAGAGTAAACAGGGAACATAAATCTGTAATGCATCTGTACAACAAAACCCCTATAAATCATTGTTCTAGTATCTGAAGTAGAAGCTGCAAGCAGACGCAGATGGGTATACTACTATTCACATAGTCTTAAATGATTTACAGGGATTGTTATGAAAAAGGTTTTAAGTTTAAATAGCCAAATGTGAAAACCCTCTAAAACTTGTGGATACCCGATCAAAATCAAACCCCGGGTAAAATACTCAAATAAGCAAAAGCTTATCTATAGCTGTGGGTACATCTGGGAGGAGGTAGCTGGGTACTGCAGCCTGCAGGAGGTACTCACGCCACTGGTTGTGTAGTGGACTCTCTTCCATCCCTTCATTCTCCATGATGTTGGGAGGTGGACCGAGGTCGGACGAGTGCTGGAGACTGCTGCCGGTGATGCCGAGAGACTTGCTGCCTACATCACAAACAATGGTACAACAGTTCAATTAACAACAGTCTACAAAAATGTCAAGGTCTACCACCCAAAAAATACTCACAACATAAAGAAACGCGAACCATAGAAACATATATAGTAAAGTATGAACGTTAAGGAGACGTTTCCAATGTGTACCACTTAATGACAAAACTAACAATCAGTCAAGTATTACCACAGAGTGTCTTTGTTCTTAACACGATATGCTGCATGCGATTTTCAGACTTTACATGCCAATTTTTCCATGTGACAAATGGTGCATCTCGTGTCATGGGTCTTTGACGTCACACATTTCTGGTGTCCCTCGCCGTGATATTGCTGGAATATTGCTAAAAGCGGCGTAAAACCATACTCACTCACTCACTCACTTTGACGTAACATGTGATGCGTTCATGAGCATCGATTCACATAACAAACCAGTATGTTCATTTGCGCATCAAAGCAATCTAATGTTTCTTGAACATGAGTAATTCTTCATATAAAAACCAACATGTATGGTGTTCATGTTTCTTTTGTTGGTGAGTATACATTATGTCTATCAGCTCAATGTAACAGTTTCACACAAACCCAGCATCCACGAATGAACAATGGCATTGTCAGCAGTATTACAGCTCGATCAGCAAGGATCAGCTCGGGTACAAAGATGCACAGCCAGTCCAGACCAAGTGGTCCACTCCGGTGGTCACTCATTTAAGTACTAGTCAATTCTAGGCAGCCACTGCAACCCCCTAATACCCACCTTTGCTGCCGTGCGGGTACTGCTGAACTAACTTACCATGAAGCATACCCCTGCTGTAGCCCAGCGGTGTTGACGACCGACGCCCGGAAGTTCCCATTTGAAAAGGAGTATCAGACTGAAACAGACATGAAACAGTAAATGTATTCTTCAATCACACAACAACTAAACAGCAGTCTTGACAAAGGCATACTGCAACTACAAGTGACAGTCTTAATAATTGGGAAGAAACTCAACCATTTGACAAAAAGGAAACAAAATCTTTTCTGATAATTATGTGGTGGGATGTATGTGAACAATACCCCCTCAATATCAACCCTGATTTCATCAACATCCATTAATTTCAAAAGTTATCTGGACGCTAGTATGATAAGTGACCTCAGCAATACTGACCAATTTGACTGATCCAACAAACATCTTGCATAAGGGGCTACCTTACGCTAAAGTTGATGAAAATACATCAATATATGTTCTCCTCGGAATGTAATTGTGACAGCTTACTCTCATTGCATGAGTTGTACTGGGCCGTGGGTCGATGGACGGGTTGCTCTTCTCCCGGTTGAAGTGAAGCGTTCGCACATCCTTGTTCTCAATAGCACTGCTGACTCGTAACGAGGTCATTTTCCGCTGCAAAGAAGGAGTAATACAAAATCAAGTAATCATTATCATTCTATATCAGTACATCATTCTATATCAGTACACAGGATCATACGTAAAGTTTCAACTAGAGGGGTAATACCATGCCTGTATGTTTTTCATCATTTCATAATTTACATAGGTAGTTATCAGCACAAACACAGCATTTTGATCTGCAATTGGTTACAAAGCATTGAAAAGCCCTCAACTCAGCATTCAACTCTGTATAAGTAGATTCTACAGTTTATTTGTCTTAACACATATCTTTTAACATGGACTGTTACATAGTTTCCGATGTGAGAGTGATGTGAGAGTGATGTGAGTGATGAGAGAGTGGTGTGAGAGTGGTGTGAGTGATGTGAGAGTGGTGTGAGAGTGATGTGAGTGGTGTGAGAGTGATGTGAGTGGTGATGTGAGAGTGATGAGAGAGTAATGTGAGAGTGGTGTGAGAGTGATGTGAGTGGTGTGAGAGTGATGTGAGTGGTGTGAGAGTGATGTGAGTGGTGATGTGAGAGTGATGCGAGAGTATTGTGAGAGTGATGTGAGAGTGATGTGAGAGTATTGTGAGAGTAATGTGAGAGTGATGTGAGTGGTGATGTGAGAGTGATGCGAGAGTATTGTGAGAGTAATGTGAGAGTGATGTGAGTGGTGTGAGAGAGTGATGTGAGTGGTGATGTGAGAGTGATGTGAGTGGTGATGTGAGAGTGATGTGAGAGTGATGTGAGAGTGATGTGAGAGTGGTGTGAGAGTGATGTGAGAGTGATGCGAGAGTAATGTGAGAGTGATGTGAGTGGTGATGTGAGAGTGATGTGAGAGTGATGTGAGAGTGATGTGAGAGTGGGTCAACAGCTGATGCACACCTTGCCCTTCTCCTGCTGCGGGTCGTAGGCTAGAGGTGGGAGGGCGGTGTTCTTCTGTATGGGGGCGGGTGTTATTCGTCTGATGCTGATACTGTTTGGCATCTCCTCCTCCTAGATAGGAAACACATTTCATAACAGGAACTTACAAGTCATGAAAATAAATAAATCCTGAAAATTTGCCATTCTGCAAAAATCTTGCAGCCAGCTAGTCAAAACAACCTTCACAATCACACACGCAACATTAAGTTGCTTACCAAATCTGATTTTTCACTTGATCAAACTTATTTTCGTATTGTGTCCTATAATACATATTCTGAAAATTAACTTATTATTATTCGGACTGAATAATTCAAACTGTACTAACAAATTTTGAAATAAACAAAGAATGAGAACGTACGACTATCGTCTTAATCCCAATTAGATCTTTACAAAGGTGATCCCTTGTGCATTACTGAATATCACAGTGACAATCTTTCATATTCACTTGTATACCACTTGTATACCAGTAGGTATAAAGCTTAACATTGTGTTTTCTAGTATGTACGAATTCTCTCACCACACTTGGTGTCTTGGACCTGTCAGGGAGAGGCGCCAGGGCCTTGCGCCGACTGGGGTAGGGCAGAATCTTCACGCTAGTCGGCCGCTTGCCAATCATGCTGGAGCTAGGTCGAGCCGGGGATACCGATTCCGAATCAGTCGACTCTCTGTTTTAGATGAAATGTATGTCAAAAATACATCTGGGGAAAGATCTGCATGCTCGGCAGAAAAATGGTTTTACATTCATGGAGTTGCTACCTACATCCTTTCACACACATAAATATCATAAGGAAGAGAATTTATAGATGTCAACTTCTTGCAGAACATACAAGTATATACCTGATGGAGTAAGTATATACTCCGAAATGTTGTGTTCCTCATAACCTGATGGAGTAAGTATATACTCCGAAATGTTGTGTTCCTCATAACAAAAAGGTTGACATCCATAAATTCTCTCTCTTATGTGTATCACTTCTAAATGCCATTCAAAGACTTGATACAATATTATACATTCTCTCCTCACATGCCTGAAACTCCTAATATGAATACAACTGTCACTAACTATCAAGCTATCAAATAACATCGAGAATCTTCTATTGCTGGCAATGACAGGCTTTAATCAGAAGCAAAATATTGCGAATACGAATACAAATTGATGCAATAATCTCTATTATCTCCTGTGGGACACAAATAAAGTACGTCTGTTTCAATCCAGAGATCCAGATAAGCTGCGTATCTGCGTAAAATACGCATCAGAAATGCAGAAATACGCAGTAAAATAAAAGCCAAGCGTATGAAATACGCAACGAACATTACAGATACGCTACAAAAATAAAACTTAAATCATCAAAATATTGTGAAGTAACCCTGCGTATTCGATTGGCAAATCAGCAACTTATTTTGAAATTATAAATGGGCATTCCGTCAACCTTGCCAAACTCCACGATGACAGTTACATCATGATCATTTGCCATCAAACTTTCTTGTGGAAGTATCGTGGTATTTTTGAGTCCTATAAAGCTCTCGAACCCAGACAACACCAGTTTGCAGGGACTAGATGAATAGTGTTTTTAAATATTTAACTTAATATCCACATGTGTAAAAACTAGTGGGTAACATAAATTTGAATACCCAGATAGAATAGCTGATACGCAGTGATTTTAAAATGCATGGGTAAAATACCCACAACACCAAAAGCTTATCTGGAGCTCTGCAATCTTAATGATTTATCAAAACTGTGGACTGCATGTTCCATAGAAGGACAGTTCTATTCTGGTCCTTAAAGCTCTCAACACTACTGTCGAACCAGTTCGACAGACTTTGTCACTAGCCGTGTTGCGAATAGCATGAGGACACCCACAAAACTCGCCATATCTATTTACCAAGAAGGCTTGCATAACATTAAAATTACGTATGACATGCATAAATGCTCAGCTTGCTCAATATTAAAACTTTCAGTAGTTTATTTACCTCAAAAAGAAAATATCGCGAGTTTTTAAATGTGTCCATGGGTGACTTTATTCAGTGTAACATTGACATCACCACTTAAGGCTTTTAAACATGAGAAATGATATGACATTAACATAATTCTTGGAACTAAAGTGAAGTGTGCCACAGGTTGTCTGCCTGGACCCCTATATTCATGCCAAGCACCCCACCCCCACCCCCACCCCCACCCCCACCCCCACCACCACCACCCAATATGATAGTATTACTGAGAGTCTGGACTCAAAAATACATAGACCCAGGTAAGTCCCTGTAATGGCGGCCTAATCGTGATTACAGAACCAACACAATTCAGGACTGTAAAGACAACATAAAATTGTTCAACACTGGCAAAAATCTTACGGTGCATTCTTGTTTTTGAGAGTAACCCTGGAGATCTGGAGACAACCATCGATGGATTTCTGCGGGTCTGTCGTGCCGATGTGAGTGTGGGCCCGCTGTAGTGTCAGGGCCTGGAATGGCTACAAGGAAACATTGACACATGAGTACTGTTGCCATTGCCTATTTTAACATCTTGTTAGGGCTGGCCGAAAGGATCGATAATCGGAATGATTGTCAATGGGAAAAAATATTAACGATTGTCGATTCATTTGTTTGTTTATTGTTTACAGCCGCACTCAGCAATATTCCACCTATATGACGGTGGTCTGTAAATAATCGAGTCTGGAACAGACAAACCAGTGATTGACATCATGAGCATCGATCTACGTCATTGGGATAGAATGACATGCATCAACAAAGTCAGCCAGCCTGACCACCTAATCCTGTTAGTCGCCTCTTACGACAAGCATAGTTGCCTTTTACGGCAAGCATGGGTTGCCAAAGACCTATTCTACCCTGGATCATGGGTCTGTCGATATGTCATAGCTGTCATCAATAATAACTTACTTGAACTATGGTGATGAATTTTTTTTTAAATGTACAGAAACAGACTTGTTTTTGTCAATCACGACAATTGTCGAAGACGAAAAGTAAATGTTATATCTCACATGCTTAAAGTTACTTCTTCAATATTTATTGATACCTGATCGATCTCCATGATCTATAGCAATAGCCAGTCCTACATATTGTAGTCATAGTAACAGTTGATGTTCAAAATTCACTGTCTTTAGATGAATGAAAGATAGCATTATTTTGAAGTATGTTCAAAAGATAGTCTTTTTCTCCAGAAAACTTCCATTTATATAATCATTTGTCACACTGAATGCATAATAACTAGAGAAATTGGATAAACTCTTTTGATACCCCAGTGATAAGGCTTGAGAACAATAATTTTGTGTTGGTAGAAAATATAAGACTGTGAGAACAAACTGGCCTGACACTATCCAACAAACTCCGACAGTGCTCCCTATTCCTATGTAATCATCTATTATATGACTATTGAACCCTATAGGTGTATATGAAAAAAGTCTAATCATGTGACAATCATGTGACAGTCATGTGACAGTATCTGACCTGGTTGTGACAGGTTGCTACCCATCAATCAAGCTCAGTGTAATTTATGCATAAACCCCAATGTATGGTGTCCGACAGGGTTATCTCCCATTATATGAAGGCAGCTAAGTGGGGATTACATTGTGTGAAAATTACACATATTTCAAAAGTTAGTATTTGAAATTCTAATAAATTTAATCCCATCTCTTCCTGTGGTGTGTCATGACTGGACACTATGATGTAAGTCTATCCAATGGCCTGTGGAGGTGTACTCACTCTGGGTTGCATCAAGCCCATGTAGGACGACTCCCTGGTTGTGCGTCCTGGGTCATGGAGGCCGATGGGCGACACATGGAACCCTGATGAAGGCACTAGATCTTGTTTGGATTCTGGAAAACAAGCCCCATTACTATCATAATACATAGTACAATAATTCTCACTTCCAAACATCAGCTGAATGATTACACTGAGTAAAACTGGCACGTCAATCATGATGAAAACATGAAAATGACTTCTTTATCATATATATATATATATATATATATATATATATATATATATATATATATATATATATATATATATGCACATGTTGATATGTCCTCATGTACTTGCAACTTCCAAATGCCTATCTTCTTTCTTTCTTTGTTGTATAACGCCGCACTCAACGATATTCCAGCTCTATGACGGCGGTCTGTAAATAATCGAGTCTGGACCAGACAATCCAGTGATTGACATCATGAGCAGTGATACACACAATTGGAATACAATGACATGCATCAACAAAGTCAGCAAGCCTGACCACCGATTCCGTTAGTCACCTCGTACGACAAGCATAGTCACCTTTTATGGCAAGCATGGGTTGCTGAAGACCTATTCGACCCTGTATCTTCACTGGTCCTAAATGCATATCAAGGAATTGAATCAAGATGTCTTGAACAAACATTCCCTTTAAAAAGAATGTTAACATTTAACCCTACCTATTAGAATGGTATATTCCTTTATAATTGGCCTCATCCAGGAGATGATCTGAAACAATACACACATGGTCAAGTACTGTACGTCCTACAAACAAAAACCAACGCCTTATAATGACACAGTTAGTATTGTTTGTTTGTTGTTTAATGCAGCACTCAGCAATATTCCAGTTATATGCAGGGGGTGTAGATAATGAAGTCTGGACCAGACAATCTAGTAATTGACAGCATCGATCATCAACCAAGTCAGCTAGACTGAACTAGCCGATCCTGTTTGTTGCCTCTTACGACAAGCAATCTATATCGATAACAGTAAATAATGACTTGCCTGAAGCAATTGGTCCATGTTAGAGATATCAATAAAGACATATTTCTCACTTTTAATATTTGCCAATACATTATTATCAGGGCAAGTACTTAGAAAATTGTTTCTGTTGGATCAATGATCTTAAGATTGATCTGTGTGTGCAACATACAAAGGGACAAACATGTTGGTGACCCCCATCAATTCCCCCCCATTTCTTTTATTAGTGGATGACAGACTTCCTCTCACCTCATTCCACATGCAGTCAAACACGGAACTAGCTACACTATCTTTCACACAAGCGTTGGGGGTGATGGGGGGATAACCTATCCGCCGTCGTCGAGGGGTGATCTGCTTCTTGTGTTCAGAGTCTTCATGGCTGTAACATAGGCAACACACTTACAATGTCCGACTGACAGGTGGTTGTACGTCAGACAGTGGGTAGGAGGTATTATCTCACTACAGTGTTTATTTCATTTGTCCAAATTGTAAAGCAGAATCTGACAAAATATTGTGTCTAATGCAGGGATCTGGAAATATTTTTTTGCCAATTGGATATTTGCATTTTGGTCATATTGCGTGTATTGCGACATCCCTAATCTTCGGACACCTTTCTCGTCTGTCTGCTACAGCGAGAAGGATCAAAGGATATATTGGTACTTACACATCCTTGTAGTCGATGGCGATGACCTCCTCGTAGACGCCATCTTGTGCCAGTATTTCCTCAAAGAGATAGGCATACTCATTCTTGGAGTAGTCCCGGTCTGTGTGGATAGCTGCCGCATCCACGGGTGCCTTCATCGCCTTCATCTGTCTACCCGTTACACTGAGCCTGCAACAACACAACATGCTGTCAAACACACAACGTGACAAGTGTGTTGTGGTTATCTGCATCCATCTGCACAACTCACACCAATCGTGTTCCCTCTTTATTCCCCGTACTACATATCATAATCACAATCTATAACCTTCAAATCAACTTTTGACAGCATCAAGTGGGAGATTAAACACAAAACATGGAGAATCACAAGAAGCAATATAATGTAATTAATAAGCTGACACTTTCAGGCCTTCAGGACCAGCAAGTTATGGAAGATCCTCGTGGAGATTCAGGATCGGAACAGGTCCCCAGCAAACTATTCCGGTCATAAGGGGCGACCAAATGAATTGGGTGGTCATGCTCGATGACTTGGTTGATCATGTGTCACTATCACTGGATTGTCTGGTCTAGACTCGATTATTTACAGATTGACATCATATAGTTGGGAAAATGCTCAGTGTGAATATTTAGAACATTGCAATGCTATTTTATTTTAATACCTTATTTATTGATGCATATTTAATGAATAACTACCAGTTTCTAACAGTATCAAACATTATTACAAAACTCATTTTCCTATCTAATGCCCATGATATCCGTGTTAAACAAGGAACATACACACACAGTAATGGATAAAATTATTTCGATATGGCCACATTGGGGGGCTTATGGTCAGGTTTGTCTCTGTAGACATAGTTTTTTGCTACATGTTAAGCTTCATGAATCCAGTAGTATTTCTCACATAAAAGCCAATGTGATGGTCAAAGGACACAGCAGGGCAAACATTCACAACAAATAACACATGTTGTATGACTTCACCAGGAGAGATTACCGAGATTGGACAGCGATCAGCAAAATGTCTGTTGCCATGATGGCGGGGTATATTTTTTCCAGATATACTATCAAGTCTTGTTGATCCGATGCTGTCCGACAATCGGCTTTATTCGACACTAATGATGGGAAATCAGTGCTAATTAGACCTATTAATCTGACAGTCTCATACTCTAACATACCTCATTTGCAACAAATTACCGAAATCACTCATTAATCAGTCTTGTAAATCGGACACAGTGATCAGCATACTCCGTGGCCATCTGCCCGCGAGTAGACAGCCAGTGTTTTGATGCGAGACGAATTCACTGTGACTGACAATGAAATGACTAACAGGAAGTTGACGTTTGCCACTAAGAAAGCAGCTTTATTAAGCTTTGCGGTACCAGTTTCAAACTGGCGACTTCCATTCCAGACTATCCTTTTTAAATTATTTTGAATAAGTCATACAGTCAGTAACAGTTGTTTTGTGCTACGCTTTAGAGGTTGCATGATTAGAAAACATATTCCGCTAACAATGTAATATAACAATATGAATATTTCATTTTTTATTACATGTTTGTAACGTTACCCATCGTGTAGTTGTCTGATTTTCGATCACGAACGTTGATACTACTCCTAACAATGTAATATAACAATATGAATATTTCATTTTTTATTACATGTTTGTAACGTTACCCATCGTGTAGTTGTCTGATTTTCGATCACGAACGTTGATACTACTTAATTTCGTTCTAATACTCGTTAATCCGACATAATCATATGCAACCAACGATGTCAGATTAACGGGACTTGACTGTACATTGCTAGAGCGGGATACATGGAAATTTATCAAAACGTAATGGATAACATAAATTTCAAATGTTTCATGTTTAAGTACTGATCAATGAATTCATTGATGGGATAATTCATGCAAAGTCTAAACTCCTAAAACTTCATTAAAAGATGGATAGACAAGAGACATGACCAGAAAAATGACAATCAAACAAAAAAAATACACAAAGTGAAATTCCATCTCTTCAAAATGCCAATGAAACAAATGTGTGGATTAATATACTTTGTCACATAGGTCAGGAGAAATGCAACTTTTATAATGTCACTATACTTTTTTAGGTTTGAATCTCTACAATTGTTTAATAATGTGAGATTTATTTCCACACTGTCATGTTCATCAGCGTCCCATTGAACTAACTACAGTTAAGTATGACAATGCCAGGGTGGTTTTTCCCCACTCTAGTAATCAGTGGCACTGAACTGGAAGAGGTTTTTCAATTCTAGATTGCGGGTCTAAAAGCATCAAAGCTCTAATGTCGAGCTTGATATCAAACAACCTCCATGTCACAAACAAGCCTTCATCCCCTGCTCAGGAAAATCCATTTAGCCTCGTAATTTGTACAAGCTCAATTACATTTCACAGCACTCTACTATCTTAACTGTAATCCCACCACTTTTATTTTTCAATTCACAGAACAGAGGAGAAATGGACCTGCTGTAAATGTCAACCACTGATGGCAGGAACTACACCATGGTGACAGAACACCAACAGTTTTTAATCTGTTATGTAACTAGGTGTGAAATGTTCACGTTCACAGACAAACAGCTGTCCATCAGCTTGGTTTACAGCAGGGGCCAATTGTCCCGATATTGATGGAAATTGAGAAGTAGTTCAAGTGAAACGTGCCTCTCTCACAGGATCTTCGTCCATGTCCCACGTTGCCATGGCGACCATGTCAACAGCATCAAAACACTGACTGCCAGCTTTTGTTTTGGTGCACTTTTTTGTTGATATGCAACTTAATGTCAAATGAATACTGATAGATTTAACCAAGATATTATCGACAAAAACTGTTAGAAGAAAAAACAAAAGAAATACATTTCCAACGAAACATTATTTTAAGTCTGTTGCTTCTATTTCTGCAAAACATATTCCTCTGACACTCCTGACATTCTCACATATCCCTCTGTCATACAAATATTTACTTAATTGACAGCAAGAGCTTGTTTCTCAATGCCTCGCCACCAACAAATAGATATTCAATATTTTTTTTATTTTTTACTTTGTACTCAAATTTGATCAGCTATACAAAAACAAATTAAAACAAGAAGAAAAAGTAAATTTGACATCCCTTGGAGATAATTATGCCTGCCTCTAACTCTCGCTCAAATGGGACACATTTAATTTAATTAATATTTTTTAATGCTGCAGTCCGCAATATTCCAGCTATATGACAATGACTTGTAAAATTGAGTCTGGACCAGACAATCCAGTCATTGATATTACGATCAACTATCCATGCTGTCTGGATACAATACCATGCAATAGCCAAGTCACAGAGCTTGACCAGGTGATGATGGGGGATGATGGGGTGATTTTGGGGTGATTATGGGGTGATGATGGGGGATGATGGGGTGATGATGGGGCGATGATGGGGGGATGATGGGGTGATGATGGGGTGATGATGAGGTGATTATGGGGGGATGATGGGGTGATGATGGGTGATGATGGGGTGATTATGGGGTGATGATGGGGTGATTATGGGGTGATGATGGGGGATGATGGGGTGATTATGGGGTGATGATGGGGTGATTATGGGTTGATGATGGGGTATGATGGGTTGATGATGGGGTGATAATGGGGTGATGATGGGGTGATGATGGGGATGACTGCGTGATGATGGGTTGATGATGGGTTGATGATGGAGTGATGATGGGTGGATGATGGGTGGATGATGGGTGGATGATGGGTGGATGATGGGGTGATAATGGATGATCAAAGCCAACCTACCCCTGAGAATCAGCTGATATGGAGATGTCGTTGTCTGTGACGTCAAGGAGCAGCCCTGGTGAGGAGAGTCGAGGACTGTCCTGGGGGATCTCCTGAAAACCCTCATCCTGGGGCTCCACCTTCTGGGTGCCCAAAACCCTGCAACACACAGGTGAAGGGAGGTGAACATGGGACCTAACTTCACGTTTACATAGTGACATGCGTGCGTGCGTGCGTGCGTGCGTGCGTGCGTGCGTGCGTGTACTAGTCCAGACTAGTGCTGGTTTTATAGTGCTAGCCCACTGAGATACCATGCAGCAGTTTAAGATGAATATCTCACTCAGAACCAGTATACTGACTCCAACCCTGACAGTCCTTGTTTTATCCCCTTAATGTAGAGCGCCAGACAGGGTAACAACAAGTAACATCATTCAATGGCTTTTGGTAAGCCGCGAATGAGGATCGAACCACCAACCTTCCACTCTCCCGGTATTTGCTCTATCCATTAGACCACAGAGGCCATCAATACACAGATGAAGTACAGATCAATACACAGGTGTTTATCTACCATGCTGTCCATTCAATCCATCACCTAATTTGGTAACCGTAACATCTGTCCTATCCACCTTTTTAAATTAATAATACTTAAAATAAATAGCAAAGTACACAAATAATCATAGTTTCATGCAAGGTTCCAAATAGTCTAATTCACAAGAAAAGGAGGGGGCACGGGTGGCCCAGTCGTCTAAGGCGCCGTGATTCGCTGTGCAGAGTTGCATATCTTGGGCACACCAGAAACCTATGATTGTGGGTTCAAATCCAGGTTCGCCCCGATTATGTTTCTAGGTTTGTCAGCACCATACCCGTGCTCGTGGGTTTCACCGAAGTGGTCAATGTCTGCATCACTGCATCACTTCGGGCTTTCCTCCCACATTAAGCTGACATGCCGCAATATAACTGGAATATTGTTAAAAGCGGTGTTAAACCCAACTCACTCACTCACTCACTCACAAGAAAAGTCTGAAGGACTTAATGATTATGGCAGTTAAAGCTACAACCCTGCACCTACCTGAGATGAGGAAAGTGTGTGCTCCAATCCTTGCATTCCTTGAATATACTGGACGGGTTCTCACTGCTGCCTTCGAACAAGAACCGCTCAATCTCATCAAACAGCTGGTTCACTGTCTTTGCTGCCTGGCGGTCAAACTCCTGAAGAAGACATAACTTGAATGATGAACATCAATGGCACAATAGGATTGGAATTCATTTCGTTCCATCAGCTATGATGGGGAACGGGTATGACGGAGACCAGGTATGACAAAGACAGGATATGAGTGAGTGAGTATGGTTTTAGGACCAGGACCAGGTATGACAGTGACAGGATATGATGGAGACCCAGTATGACAAAGACTTGGTATGACAAGGACCGGGTATGACAAGGACCGGGTATGACAAGAACCGGGTATGACAGTGACAGGATATGATGGGGACCCAGTATGACAAGGACTGGGTATGACAAGGACTGGGTATGACAAGGACCAGGTATGACAAGGACCAGGTATGACAAGGACTGGGTACTCACATCCCAAGAGTAGGAGGAGTCAAGGCTGCTCCTCTCGGTGGTGTTGCCAGTCGTCCACCCTCCATGTGATGCTGACAGGGTGCTGTGTGATTCGATCGTGGGGGAGGACCGCCCACTGCTTGCTGGGGTTGTGTTGAGGCTGGAAGGAAGATTCATAAACCATCAGTATTCACCAGAGAAATAAATATTACAAAATTCATTTTTATCGCCTACTTTTACTTTTAAACCAAAGAGAACGTTAGTGCTGTGATTAAAGTGAATTCAATATTCAGTATGACAATGTAGACAAGGAGAGGCTAAAAATTAGGGCTGAAACGATATTCCGGGACACCGATGCATCGCGATTCACTCCATACGATACGGTGTGCGATTTGTGAGATGCTGTATCTCGATTTTTCACGATACGTTTTTTTCAAAGACGTATATACGTACGTCTTTGTTTTTGTACATAAACTTTTATCACAGATACGTTTTAAATGTGTTTAAACTCTTTCAACACCGTAGGCACCGAGTCCTCAGGCACCGGCCAAGCCTTAGTCACGTCAAAATAATATATATTTTTATGGACCTACCTGTCATACCATTCATTTATTAAATCTATCACATCTTACAATGTCTGAAATACGAATTCTATTTCAATTTATCATTTTTTATCGATAGATTAAAAAGTTATTCACTATTTCCCGCAATGTTTTTGAAAGTATAATTCTCGGACGCACTCTTCGACAACGGGTGCACATCGAACATGTCAAAGAGCAAAACAAAGACGTTTCAAACAAATCTTTAAATATATTATACAAAGTGATAAATAAAATCAACAAAAATAAATCTAAAACTTACAGCTAAGTTATTATTTCCATCTTTTCATGCGATCGCGTGCAATGCTAGTCAAATGACATCTCGGCTTTCGGCGCCTCAAATTCTCTGCTGGGACACGATGTTCAATGCCAAAATATATGCATGAATAATCTTTGTCACAGCTTGTAACCTAGTATGATACATCCACGAAGCTCCATATTTTTAATATAGATCGCGATTTCCTGCTTAAACGTTCAGAATAACACGATTTAACCAAAATATTTCATAAAAATCTGAAATTCATCGTACGCGAGGATTTGTAATTTTATTGCCTGCCTCAGGTCACGTGCTCAAATTTGACCAACCATGAACCTTGTAGCAGATTTCGGCAAGAAAGCGTCATTAGGAACCATTTTTTATCCAATGAAACCTGATGTTATACCTACGAAAAGACTCCAGGCAATGTTACGAGCGTGTAGATGAAAACAAGCTTTCTAGCGATGTGTCATATGTCAGTCTTCGACGAACGTGTTATTCATACGAATCTTTCGAAAACGGAGGTATTTCTTCATGTTACTTAGCAGACAGCCGCTGTTATCTGGAAATTTGGGGAAATCAGATACTATTCATAATTCTTTTTAAAATAATTTTCCAATTACATAAATGAAAAATAAAAAAGAAATAAGTAGATCTAGATCTTTTGAAATCTTATATTTGCCCGAAATCGTCAAATTTTCGCTTCCTTGGTCCTTAATCTGGACGTTATGAATGTGTTAGCTTACATTTTGTATATTTACAACGAACTTAATTGAGTTGTCAATGCATTATTTAAATAATGTTATAAACATAACTTTCATATTTATAAACACCAAGATTAGACCTTTCAAATGGTGTATAACATGGCTGTTGCTACAATTGTTTTTAATTGTTTTTTTGCCTTTATACATGAAAATGGCAAATCATTAGTTACTGGACACTGGTACATTTAGTATTTACTCCTAGAATCTACTATCTAGTCACAACTCACAAATATGTAGGACTGTTACTTTTGTGTTTGCTAGCCATTACATGGAAATGGCAGATGATTCATTAAGTTAAATTACTCATTACAGTATATATTTTATGACTCATGAACATTCATTCACTTTCATTCAATTTTTCATTTTAATAAACTAAGTTTAATTCATTTATCTCTTTTCTTCTCTTGTCACTTTGTGTATCGTAGCGTATCGAGTTACGTATCGAATCGTGATGTAAGTATCGAGATACGTATCGTATTGTGACCTAGGTGTATCGTTGCAGCCCTACTAAAAATGATAACCTGTAAAAATGATAAATCACACTTGCTTAATCAAGACAACTGAGAATTTTATATGAACGACCATGTGTTTAATACCAATTTTATGAAACGAGTGAATTGTTCTTGTATCTGATGTGCGAAGTGAGTCCGATGCCAGACCTATTCACACGTTTCATAAAATTGGTATTACCAGGGCCCCGTTCCACAAAGCGATCTTAGCGCTACGATTGTCGTAAGTCAGTGATAAAGAATGGGAGTTACGATCGACTTAGCGCTAAGATCACTTTGTGGAACGGGGCCCAGGAGGATTACAAAGGAGCGAGTTTAGTGTGTCATTTTTACTTTCCTTTTATAAAAAAATTAAATGTCACTGTTGTTTGTAAATAGGCAGACTTTTACGCAGTCCTCAGCATAATCCAACTGAGTTTAACAGAATAATACTTCAAGCGCTTTAAAAGTTCACACATATTAGTGTAATACCATATAACAGCAATTTTCAGGGGTCCATTCCTCAAAGCTATCGAAGCACTAAGTTGATCGTAACTTCCATACCGTAACATAGACTTACGACTGTTGTTGCACTATAATCACTCTGTGGAACAGGCTCTGCGCCACAAAGTTAACAAAAATGTCACAAATCCCTGACATAATTTGTGAATTTATTTTGCAAAATACACTGGCCAAACAATGCCATGTGAAGTCATCCTAGCAACAAGGTTGCTGGGGTCTTTGAGCGTGCATAACCTCCTCTCAGTGATCTATCATCTCTACACGCAATGTCGTGAATATGCCCAGGGATAGTGGGAGTTTTCAATATAAATTATTTGTTCGTGAAACTAGTTCCTGCAGTTTATAAGCACATGCTTTGGTATTAAACACTGTGTAATACCAGCTTATTGTATTTGATACATGTATACCGAAAACAGCCTAATAACAGCTTTCAGCATATTCCAATTGCATTTCATTGTACAATGTATTCGAGGTTACAAATATCCCCATCTCTTATGAATGGCAACTAAAGAAACATTGTGACTATCTGCAACCATAACGACAAATCTGGTAGCAACATTCTCGCATATCAACCCCTACTTATTGTCGGACAGTGATACTTTTTTTTTGAGATTTTGATTTTTTATCCATATTTGTTCAGTCTGACAATCCTCTAAAAGCATTCTATGGCAGATGTTTACTTTGTAATTCAAACATCAAAGAACATGACACAGCATACAAATCAATAAATGGTTGAACAAAGATGGATTTTGAATTGTATTTATCAAGGTCAATGGTGTAATTCACAAAGCAAGATAACTTAAAGAGTCAGTTTGTCTAATTTTGAATATGAAGTGAGGTGAGGTTGTGAAATGAGGCTTAATTTCACTTTCAAGAGTGAGTGAGTGATTGAGTTGGGTTTAACGCCGCTTTTAACAGTATTCCAGTCATATCGCGGCATGTCAGCTTAATGTGGGAGGAAAGCCTGAAGTGATGCAGGTCTCAGATGTTTACCACTTTGGTGAAACCCACGAGCACGGGTATGGTGCTGACAAACCTAGAAACATAACCGGGGTGAACCTGGATTCGAACCCACAATCATAGGTTTCTGGCATGCCCAAGGGACGCAACTCTGCACAGCAAATCGCGGCACCTTAGACGACTGGGCCACCCGTGCCCCCATCACTTTCAAGACTATTCACTTACATGGTGACATGTATGTGTGGCCATGCTGAGATGAGATGCCTTGCCACTCAGACACTCAGACACGGTATACTGACACATTATACTCCAAGCTGGCCAGTCCCTGTTTTGTCCCCTTAACAAGCACCAGAAGAACCCCAGGGTACAATCTTTTGGTATGGTGCGGACTGGGGATTGAACCACAAACATATTTCCAGGTCTTTTATAAATAACCAACAAATCAAATCTACTTCAGATCATGGAAATTTTAAGTGTATCATAAATCCTTAAAAAAAAATGTGGGGTCATTACACAATCTTAAAAATATGTATGTGAGTACAACCATTCAATTTACAAAGAGTGAATAGGGTAGACAGGTAAATATATACAACAGCACATATTTGGATTTACATCAACCAATTCTAGGAGCAAGCTAGCACGTTTACATGACATTCAAAACTTGTTTCAACCTAAAAAAAAAATTTTTACGATTGAATAGTCTGTGAGAAAACATAATGAGTCAATAAATGAATGTCATATTTATTCTGCCCGTCAAGCATGTTTTATATGGCCCATGCAGCAACTACACTGCACTATGCACGGGCACAATGACCACGCCCAACATTAGTGGTAGCGACATGCACAGCACATTCACTTACACCTAATGACTACTGCAGGTTATAGGAACTAGGATTTAATCATGGAAATACTGTCACTGAATCAGTAATGCTATCTGGATGTATAATGATTCTCATTAAACTAATCACTGATGCTATCTCAGACAATGTCATGATGCCTTATTTGGAATGATTAAAAAGTGACCTGAATATTGAATAGATCTCAGTAGGGTGGGGATTGCGCTGACAGGAAAGCAGTCACAGTCACTGGCTCTTAGGGAGCTGAGTGGGGTAGGACTGATAGGCACTGCTAGTCAGGGAAGGAAGAAGCACTGAACAGGCAATGGAGGTCAGGAAGCACTGAGACGATATGGAAGTCGGGAGGTCAGGGAGGGAGGAAGCACTGACAGGCAGTGGAAGTCAGGCAGGAAGCACTGACAGGCAATGGAGGTCAGAGAGGAAGCACTAACAGGCAATAGAGGTCGGGAAGGAAGCACTAACAGGCAATGGAGATCAGAGAGGAAGCACTGACGGGCAATGGAGATCAGGGAGGAAGCACTGACAGGCAATGGAGATCAGGGAGGAAGCACTGACAGGCAATGGAGATCAGGGAGGAAGCACTGACAGGCAATGGAGATCAGGGAAGAAGCACTGACAGGCGATGGAGGTCAGGGAGGAAGCACTGACAGGCAATGGAGGTCAGGGAAGAAGCACTGACAGGCGATGGAGGTCAGGGAGGAAGCACTAACAGATAATGAAGGTCAGGGAGGAAGCACTGACAGGCAATGAAGGTCAGGCAGCAAGCACTAACAGGCAATGGAGATCAGGTAGGAAGCACTGACAGGCAATGGAGGTCAGGAAAGAAGCACTGACAGGGAATGGAGGTCAGGAAGGAAGCACTAACAGGCAATGGAGGTCAGGGAGGAAGCACTAACAGGCAATGGAGATCAGGTAGGAAGCACTGACAGGCAATGGAGGTCAGGAAAGAAGCACTGACAGGGAATGGAGGTCAGGAAGGAAGCACTAACAGGCAATGGAGGTCAGGGAGGAACACTGACAGGCAATGGAGATCAGGGAGGAAGCACTGACAGGCAATGGACAATTAGCTTGTCAGAGTTATCTGAAGCTATCTGACAGTCAATACTGGGAAGTCTCCAAATCTAAGCAAAATACCATTTTCAAACATTCCTCAAATGAATGTTGATATAGATACAGACATACATGTTCATAGATGTGACAAGACGACATTTCACACAAAGATTCATCAAATGAATCCAACATTGAAGCTAATTCTTTCTTCAAAGAACAAATGTAATTTTCGACTGGTTCAGCATATACTTCCTGTTCATCAGGTTCAAATATTGATATCTGACTGCCTACAAGAGGAGTGATAAATTGCATAAACTCCAGGGAGGGAGTTAAATCATTGATTGCAGCAGCCACACCCATTCAATATTACTGTGTACATGATCCCCAACATGAAACATGGATACTTCTTTGAATATTTCATGTGGTGTGATCATGGTGATTGAGTAGCCTATACGACATCCCACAGACCGGCACTCTGAATAATACATACAAAAGTCAGTCACCTTTGACCTACACGATTACACAAACCTGAGAAAGAAGGTTACGACATTTCATAGTGAAGAAGATCTTACAGTACTGCACTGAATAAATTGGAACATGTTCAAACATCAAAACAAGTCACTATCAAACATTCAAGTATTTTCAATGGTATTTTCAACCACTGGAAATAGCACAGTTAATTACACCCAATAACAGGAGTAGATACCATTGTTCATATCAAACTAGTCTCCAGCTCATTTTTGACTAGCGGTTTATGTCAAACAGCTAGGGTGTGGTAGAAAACAACTAGTCCCTATGGATTTTCACCTGACGGACAAAAGGCCGTGTCTTTCCCTGAGGATGGTCTTACGCCTCTTTTAGCAATAATCCAGCCACATCACACATAGGACACCATAAAAGGGCTTCACACATTGTACTCATGTGGGGAATCGAACGACACAATGCTTTAAACACTAGGCTACCCCCACCACCTATGCTTGAATAAATGTGAAAAAGGTTTAAAGTGTGACAAAAAATATCACTAACCGTTTCTTAGACAATGATTAATTATGTATTTGATTTACATTCCCACCTGCCTCACTAACAAACAGCCGACCTCACTGCAATTCCTTCTTTGTTTACTTAATGAAAAAAACCCATATAAGCAGTCCTGCCAGATATGTATGAAAGCTTCAAAGCTTGCTTACTTTTATTAAAGGATGCTTACTGGCTTATGAAATTATGTAGAAGACATGTGTATATTGCTCCATACTTTTAATTCAGGTCGACAACCTATATTGTACTCAATCCACGCAGCTTCACTCAATATTTTAGACAACACCAAAGAGTTTATGTTAAATTTAGTCATGATGGGGGTAAGCATATTGTGTCGAGCAAGGATACCTGTAGATTTAACAGTCCATGACATTATAACCTCAGACTGCTCGTTCAGTTACAAATTTAAATTAGTGGGGCTAACGCAGCATGTACTCTTGCTCTACATTGAAAACATGGTATGTACATATCTACTCATTGTACTGTGTACGTAAGTAAGGATAAGATATGGATGAAGAACTTCTTTATTCCAATTAGGAGTGATGTTTTGGTGTAGGTTCTGCTTGATAATGGTGTTAGAACCTACACCGAAATGTCACTCCTAATTGTAATAAAGAAGTTGTTCATCCATATATCTTTTCCCAACATAGTACTCCAACTTCTGAATGTCTCTCAAAGAAGTTACTGTATACATATATACTTCTTACTGTATCTGAATTCAAGGAATTCTGGGTCCACTTGCGCAAAGAGGTTGTGGTGTTATGACGATTGTAACTTGTATACTTTAACCAAGACTCCGTCTTAGAGCTGAGAGCACTTTGTGCAAGTAGGCCCAGGATTCCAAACAAAGACAAATCCACAGATAAGGGATGGGCTCACTCTAGCAATGTCTCCAGCCAGGTGGTCATAGCATTTTAATCTACTGGTATGTCATTACAAATACATGCCAGTCATTACAAATACATGCAACAACCTTTGTGTACTTGAGGAATTTCCTTTTGTTTCTTAATTCAACAAAATAACTGTAGGGATAAAAACAGTTTCCATATACCTTACTGGGAAACAAACACAATCAGGAGTTACAGTGACTGGTAACCAGAACATCTTAAAGGTGAAACTATAAAATTGATCTGTTGCAACTGACCTTGATACAGGCTCATGTATGCTGTCCAGGATCTGACGCATGATGGGATCCTCATCAACACTGTCAAGCGGTGGGCGGTCATCGATAGGTGTGCGGGTAAAGCCTCGTCTGAAAGAGAAGGAGGAAAAATCAAAATTACTGATACTCAGAACTGATACTGATGACTGAAAACAAATTAATATTTCATCATCCATATTTCAACACTGAATAAAAAAATGTGTTTGGAACATGTTTTTGGGCATGCCGTTGTGGCACACCTACCAGGTAATGAAGTAATGACAACTCTGTCCATATGAATGGTTTACCATCAGCATACACAGAACAGCACTTTCAAATCACCTATACCAGCATCCATTATACTCAGCCTTCGTGCAAGTTCCCTAGCCCTATACTACCAAATTATGCTGAGGGCAAGTCAAAATCCAATGATGGTAGTAGTCCCTCATTGACCTGTAGCCCTAGGCTAACACTTAGTCCCAGAAATAAAGTTATCTTATTTAAAAATGTTTATCTACAAAATAGAAAATAAAATCTAAATGGAGTTCAGAACCATGCTCATTTTCAGATCTGAGGCAATCTTGACCTGCAAAATCATTGTAGACTTGATTTGGATTTCTTTCTTTCTTTTTTCTCTCGGGTCTGGTAGACTACTGAGGGCTATAATTCTGAACCAGTTCTCAATGCTTCAATTATGCTACAAACTGAAACTGAAACTGAGAGAGGAGGAAGAGGAGGAGGAGACTTGTCAATAAACCTGTGGCACTTTCAAAGTTTGTCATCATTGATAAACTGGACGATCATTTGAAGGTGATCATAAAGATGGATGGATGGATGGATACCAAAGTAAATTCATAGATTGCTGTAGAATGTTATTGACAGTCACTGTCAGGCATGGCATGCATTGAATCGATAGACTGGGTGTGCATTTCTTCATTCTGTTCTTAGAGTACTAGGGAGGATATATGAGCGCAGTCCGACTTTTTCCAATGTATGGAAAACAGAGGAGTTCAAGATTAAAGTGTCTAAACCATCAGAAGCACTGCTTCTGTATTTATTCGATCAAGGGAATTTTCAGGGCTTCAACAATGATTAAGGAGTTTTCCTAGAAGTGTAAAAGTAATCTGTCAGTTTTTTCCTGACATCAGATTCATACCCTTGTTATTAACTGAACTCCCTACAGCAGTAAATAAGTACTAAATCTAAAACCAATAACCCCAGGTAACTTATATGATGCCATCAATCCCTGTCAAATAATATCATATCAAAACAATGTCTGTTGTGGTGATCGAAAACTGGACTTGAAAAGTTACTTCCAGCCTATCTGCAATTGCCTTGAAATGCACCGAGGCCCCAATATTGCATCAATAAATAGAAGGTTTAGACTGTTGCACACATACACATGCAATGCTTAGAGTTCTGGACAGACGTGTCTTTATTTCTAGATCTTCAATGTTATGTTTTGTTTCTGACTGAAGTCACGGAAAGTTTAATCAAGATTTTCATGCAATATCATGCAGTGAGAGTTATACACAATGTACCCTTAAGACCATTAAAATTTATTTTGTAACAACAATAATGTGGCATAATACACTAGCCAGGGAAAGGCTACCATTTCATTTGCTTTTACTCATCCTCATCTACTAGCCTTGAGCTAACAAGATATTGTAGCTGTCAGACCCTGTATATATGACAACAGAATCTGGTGATGCTATGTCAAACTTTGACTAATAACACAGAACTCTATCACCTCCAAACTTAAATCTTGTTTATTTATCATACACCAAAAAAATATTTTAAAAATTTGACCACCCACATTGAATTTTGTCACAAAAACTGTGTAAACCAACTTCATTTCATTTCATTTCAGCTTCTTTATTTCAGACATGTTTATGCCAACGACCCATGGTACATATATTGGTCCACAGTATTAATTATTGACTCACGGTAGATAAAGGCATAATACAAATACATTGCGGTATTTTGAATTGTAGTTTGGTTACAGTCAGACATTAACATATTAAATGTATCCAGGGTAGGATGGACATAAAACATTTCATGGATATATTGTTGTCTTAAATTATCATAGGCTTTGCAATTTAACAAAAAACAACTTGTTAACATTTTAAGATAAACAACTACGAGGGCTGGGACGAGTCCAAATTTACAAACCCGGGTACCCAACCCCCTATTCCCCGACCCTACCTGGGGAACCTATTAAGTACCAACCCGACCTGAGTATCCATGTTACCTGTCCCAGCCCTAATAACTACTACAACTATGGCAGGGCAAGTATGAAAATATAACAAATTTATTAAAACATAACAATATTTGTTGAACTTTTTCAAAAGCAGACAACCATGAATGACTATGTTCTGAAACACCCAACCCCAGTACATTGTTCGACTATCTACAGTACAGGCCAATAAACACTGCTGGAACTTATCACCTGGCGGTCACATGCCGCCCTTGCCCTGGTCTGGCCCACCAGTAAGGTAATACTGTTTGCCTGGCAGCCCCCCCTGGTTACTACGATGGCAACTGGGCAGTGACCAGCACAACCAAGGACAGATAAGCCGCAATGAATGGCAGACCCAGGTATTTAGCGGACCAAGATATACCTTCTATGGAAGGAAAACAAAGGCTGAAGGTGTCAGGCCATATCTTGATAAACAGTTGACAAGATATCTGATACACCAGCTTTCATAACAAAGTAGTGTTTAGTCAGGCACCAGTGGGAGAGAGGCACTGCTCAATCAATCACTGGTGATGATAAAAGATCAATCAGTGCTCCTTATCAGTGTGTTACCTGACAGTTACCTGGCCGTTACCTGGCCAGCAGGGTATGGCACTGACCAGGATCAGCTGTATCAACACCACAGTAATTGTCAGAGATGAAATCTCCCAGCTGACCCAAAAGAAAGCCACCAATGACCAAAGACTGAGCCGCAGTAATAATCTCTTAATGATGGTAATATCTTCTTTAAACCTTGGGTCACAAGTTCAACACCACCACTACTGCATTCAGTTTCGTCACAAACATTATTAATGCTTTTTCCATTTCATAATTATCTTTCAGTATCAACAATTATATAAGTATGATGTATGCACATCCTTTGTATGTAAATTTACAAATATAAATTAATAGACACTTTGTGAAGTATTCTATTATAAAGTAAATTACAAAAAAACCAAGAGTCATCAGAAGATGACAAATCCCCCCACAATAACAAAAGGCACCCCTTCAGCCCCTGGTTAATACATGTACCAAGTTTGGATGAATAATCTTTCTTTTTTTAAGTTATGCTCCAGAGACGAAATACGGACGGACGTACAGACGGACCCGATTATGACTATATCCCACATTACATGCCGGGGGAAAAGAAAGAAATTATCAATAAAATTTTAACAAGAGTCATCAGAAAGATGACATATCCCCCCGGCAGCTGTCTGTAAAGTAACCACAAGTAAATGTGCAATTCTGTATGTAATGAGTCAAGAGTTGAATGTTCTTTAAGAAGCATACATTGTTTACCAACAAAAGATCCAGCATGGTCGCATCCATATGAAATGGAAAGTAAAACGTGGGTTTCTGTGGTGTTTTTTTAATGCAAACAAATGACAAATTACAAGAAACAAGCGTATAGTCAACGAAGTCATCTATATCCCCCACCCATTTTAACACGTTATGGTCCCAAACCAGGTAACTGACCCAACATTTCTCTCAGCCAATGTCAAAATAGCTGCAAAGGAAATTCTAAAATAAACATTTCTAAAACTCCTTAATATCAAATGGCACCTGTTCAGTATGTACTTTATATATGGATATGCAATGTTTGGCAAGGAAATATTTAACAGTTTATTTGTTATACTCCATTAGTGAACCCACCCTATATGAAAACTTAAATCCAACTTGTTGCCATGGAAACGTAAAAAATAAATAAATAAAAATTCCTAAATAGCAAAAGGCACCAGTTCAGTATGTGCCTGGTAGACATGCAAAGTTTTGTAAGAAAGTATTTACCGTATTCGACGTAATAAGCGCCCAGGGCGCTCTCAAAATTAGAAATAGGGGGCTCTGATTAGAATATTATTTTGGTGGAAAAAACAGAGTTGAAAGATAAATTTCATGGTTTATGCTGAAGGCCTGAACTGTTTATATATGACAGATATATTTTTCCAGAATTTAATTGCCCATAATTAAGTGTGCATATAACACACGAGTGCTTATTATACATAAGTAAACAAGTCTTGTGTACATTGATCAATCGGAAGGGGTGCTAATTGGGATTGTTCACTTGCCAATATATTAGCAAATATCGCCGTGGGCGCTTATTAGAGCGGGGCGCTTATTACGTCGAATACAGTAACAGTTTTTGAGTTACGCTCCGGAAACGAACACCACCCTTTTAGAACCTAAGTCCAACTTGTTACCATGGAAACATAAAAAATAAAAATTTATGATATTCCTAAACAGCAAAAGGCACCAGTTCAGTATGTGCCTGGTAGACATGCAAAGTTTTGTAAGAAAGTATGTAACGGTTTTTGAGTAACGCTCCGGAAACGAACATCACCCTTATAGAACCTAAGTCCAACTTGTTACCATGGAAACATAAAAAATAAAAATTTATGATATTCCTAAACAGCAAAAGGCACCAGTTCAGTATGTGCCTGGTAGACATGCAAAGTTTTGTAAGAAAGTATGTAACGGTTTTTGAGTAACGCTCCGGAAACGAACATCACCCTTATAGAACCTAAGTCAAACTTGTTACCATGGAAACGTAAAAAATAAAAATTTCTAAAATTCCTAAATAGCAAAAGGCACCAGTTCAGCATGAGTCTGATAGACATGCAAAGTTTTGTAAGAAAAAGTTTTGAATGGGTTTTGAGTTATGCTCCGGAAACGAACTCTACCCTATAGAACCTAAGTCCAACTGGTTGCAATGGAAACGTAAAAAATAAATAAAAAATTCTTTTCCTAAATAGCAAAAGGCACCAGTTTAGTATGTGCCTGGTAGACATGCAAAGTTTTGTAAGAAAGTATTTAACGTTTTTTGAGTTACGCTCCGGAAACGAACATCACCCTTATAGAACCTAAGTCAAACTTGTTA